AGTGTACCGGCACTGTACGTAAGAGTATTAACTGCATGTTGTACCTTGATTTTTGTGTTTCTAGGTTCAGAAACTCCGTGAGAAGATTGTGGAACAAGAGGCCGAGCATATAAAACTTGTAGACGAAAATAACAAACTGAGAAATGAGAAACAGATAACTGTGAGTCAAATCGCTTAATGCGAGGTTCAGCAGAATTTAATCTTGCACTTCACCAAATGATTGAAATTCGTCAATCACCGTTCTGTATACGGTATTTCTGTGAAAAGAGCTGGCGTCAATTTTTTTTCTTTTAGCAAGCAACGATGGAAAGTGAAAATGCCAAGTTAGAACATGAAATGAAGAACATTTCAAAGCGACTTAAAGAATTAAACTCAAGAATCAAGCAAACCAAGTTGGAAAACACTGATATAAACAGAAAACTGGAGCAATGGTGAGAGTTCATATCATATTTGTTCTTTTTTAAATATATCGGCTGTAACACTATCAAAATTGTCGTCCCCCAAAAACGATTTTGACAGTGGCTTCTTGGGGGACGATAAATTATCAAAATTGGGCTTTTTATTCTTTATAGTCGCTTATTGTATGCTCAATTAAGCTTGAACTACCAGCTGTGCCTTGTCTTCTTCTTCTTCTTCTTCTTGTTAACTACCGTATTTATTCGAATAAGCGCCCAACCTCGAATTAGGCAATTTTGCTGATAGGTACCACCAGAGGCTTAACGCTTGCGGCTGATAACACTATTTTAGAGAGGGTAGATACTTTTAAATATCTTGGTGTAACTATGGATGAAACTTTGTCTGGAAAGAGAACGTTAGCCTGTTAGGCAAGAAGACCCCCTCTAGATTGGCGTTACTGCGCCTGGCGCTCGGAAAGTCTTACCTGAGTCTACTTGTATTTACATTAAATAATACGATGGTTCTGCCCTTATTTGACTATTGGGCGGTTCTTTGGGATAGTTGTGGTCAGGTTAGTAAATCCTACTTCTAGACAAGCTAAGTCGCCGTGCTGCATGTATAATTGCGGGCCGTGCGGTTTAGTCAGATGAACTTTCTACCATATTTTGCTGACCCCATTTGCAAGCGCGCCGTTACTTCCTTAAATCTATCCTTGTCTATAAGTGTATCAATGGAATAGCACCTTTAGGCTTCACTCTCACTTCACAAGACGATGTGATCAGCTACGGCTGCCTCTGGCCAAAACCACAAAGTACCAGGGCAATTTTCGGATTAACGGTGCGCGTGCCTAGAATTCCCTCCACTCCAATATTAGAGCCGTTAAAGACTTCAATAAATTTAAGTCCCTAGCAAAACGTTATTTCAAGTCCCAGGCAGCTATCCCCTGAAATTCTTCCATATTCGTGTTCTTACGTACTTTTAGTGTACTACTATCTTGTCATAATTCCTTTGTATTGATTAGAAAGTGGTATTTTTATTAATTGGTGGTAATTTATGATATTAAGTTTTTTCCTGTTTTTAACGGGACTCTGTCTAAATTAGCTATGCTAATTTAGAAGCTCCTGTATAAAAAAATAAACTGTAACAAAATTTTAAAAAATTAATTAAAAACAAGTTGAAAATCGGTTGTTTTTACAAATAAAATCGAGAAGAATTCTCGATATTTTGTGGGCGTTTTTAATTAAAACAATTATTCCACTCGCGCTTGTTGGATATGAGATGATCATAGCCACTTCGGCGCCACGCTCCTCGTTGACTATCTATCATCTCATATCCAACGCGCACTTGTGGAATAATTGTCAATTAACTAAGTTATACACTGTAGTTTGATATTTAAAGAATGTGGTCATTTTCCTTACAATGTAATCATTTCAAATGCAACTGATCAGGCATGCCGCAGTATACCCTTGTAGTTAACCCTTGTACAGTCTATAGCGTGGTGATCTACAGTGATAATGCTCTCTTTATTCTTCTAGTGCCAAACAAAAGGTTGCTGATGAGAAGGCCATTAAGCGTTCTGAGCAAGAAATGGAGAAGATTAATGAGCAGATGGAGGTTATTGTCTTAAGTCTTATTTTTCTGAAAAATTGTTATGCTCTTATCAAGCTGTGTTGGTTTGATGGGCAGTCTATTGAGTTAAAGAGGTTTCGAAGCTGTTTGTTATAGCTCAAGTGAAGATAGGAATATACGTTATTATTCTGGCTTTTTTCTTCCAATGAATTATTTGTGAAACTTTTCAACATAATGTCTTGTGCAAAATGCAGGAAAAACGTCACTAAGATGTAAATAGGATAGTGTTTGTACATTTTGTTTTGTTTTGTTTTTTTTTTCAATTTATTAATAAGGAATCGAGTACTGGAAATCTCATTTGCATGATCCAAACGTATGAACTGGCTGGAGAAGGTGTGATTTCTCTTTGATCCCTATCCTCTGGTTCCGGCTCCTCTGGTTAAAGTACAGTAACTCGATTTTCACTTAACGGACACCTGTATAAGATGGATACCTCGCTAAAACGGACATCACCTAGAGTTGGGGCCTTCAGCCTTTATTGACTTCGGCCTTTATTTGACTTTAGTCTCTTCTCTATAAGACTGCGGTAAGTTGACTGCGGTATTGCGGCCGTTAGTTTTCATTGGATCAGTATCGCAGCCAACATTACCAGCATTCAACGAATGACACTGATATTGAAGAGTTTGAATAAATACCAAAAACACCCCAATATCGGTGGGAGTTGTTGAATAGTGGGCGAAGTGAAAAACTAACCAGCAAACGAATGAATTAATGACTGTGTCAAGATTATTCAGCTCATAAAGGATGGTGTAAGTTTATGCAACAAAAAATTAGTGCTCAAAACAGGTCATTTAATTCATGTTACTATTTCGAGCAGTTTTCGAGCCTGTCTTTCTGGATTATTAGGTGTCCAAGGAGGAGACCAAAAAAGTTGAAGTGCTTCATAGCAATCTTGTTGAAACTCTTGTTGTAAAGAAGGAGGAGGTAATGGGTGTTGAGGAATCTTTAAAAACAACAGCTGATGCACTCAAGAAACAGCTGAAGGATGAGGCACACGCTAGGACTGTACTACAGGTTAGAAAACTGTCATCTTGACTGGTTACGTTTGGTTAGTGAAAAATAAGTCGCTTGCGGGTACATCGAGGGCGATTCCGAGCTTGCAATATTATTCCATCTTGCCCAGCTATGTAAATTATAGTATCGGAGTTAAACAGGCAGATATAAAGAAAAAAAAGGATGTAAAGAAATGAGGTCTTTGTCGTCCTTGAACTTCTGTCCCACGAGCGGATGTGGAGCAAAAAGTGCCTGATGTTTGTAAGCGTGGCCGTGATCACTCATAAAATGTGATCCCCATTATTTGGAGGAGAAGCAGGGATTGCACTTCCCCACTCACAACACAACGTCTACTCAGCAAATTCTTTGTTAGAATTCCGTAATATCACTATAATTATCATCAGAAGTTAAGCTGTCCAAAATGTTTAACGTTTTTTGTTGAATTAGGCAAGGATCACTTCGGATACACAAGATCTTGCAAAGAGCCATGTTGACTCTAAAAAGAAACGTGAGAAGGTACGTACCTTGCTGGTTATTTGGCAGTTTTCCTTAAAATATTGTTACGTGTCTATGCGTTTAAGTGTAACTGTTCTGTGCCAGTCGGAACTCAATTAGTAAAACGGCCGTACCAAAGCTGTTCATGATTCATGAGAAAACAGCACATGGTTTTCTAATAAATGTTGTGTGATGTGTGTACACTAACTGCTTTTGTTACTTCTTGATATTCCTTCTGTAGGCAACCCAAAGGGCAGATGAAATAGTCAAGCTTGTAGATAATGTCCGAGATCAGGTTTGGTGAATGTTGTTCAGTTTGTTTGTTGCATGTTCGTACATATACCTTAATTACCGTATCAGTAAAATCTCCCCCACTATAGAACTTATATAGGTCGATCCTACATTTTATGCTTGTAAAAATAAACCTCAAAACTCGCAAATAGGCCACTTGCACTAAGAGGTCACGTGACCAATGCTTCCTTTAAACAATGAGTTGGAATCTTGCTGATGCCAAAAATTATTAGAGCACACAAAAACTATCTTCCCTCCGAAATTTGAGAGGAAACGCATTTAAGGGAGATATTTTATGGCACTTTGATTTTTCAGCAAAGTAGTATGATTTGTATTGGCCGCCATGTTGGGGGGCATGCTTTTGCCCTCCAACATGGCGGACAAAACTACTTCTTGCTTATATCTTGTTCAACGTTTCATAGTTACGCTCAGATGTGCTGTAAACGTTATAACATCATCTTTTCAACATTTTCCTTGAAGTTTAAGTGCAAAATTTGTGTTCAGAGAGAGGTAATTCATAATTTTAAAAATCACATTTTGGTCACGTGACCATTTACGAACTTATTCATTTTAAGAAAATGGTGCGGGTTTGAAAAACTAAATCACCATTATTTTGTTTAAGATATGACCCACTAATCGTTTTTCGAAGGCAAAATCGTGTAACTTTCATTTTCATAAAAACGATGTCACATGCCTCTTAGTGCAAATGGCCTATTGTTGATGCTAGGAGCATTTATGACGTAAAGGACTTTAAAATAAAAAAAGTGATATGATTCTCAAACAGACGTTAAGCCTTATTTTTTTCTTCTTCGTATTCTTCTTTACTCTCGCCTCCTTCGTCATCAAGTGTGCGTTATGTTTTTTTTATTATTATTTAGTTATCATTTGTTCATTTACTCTTGGTTCTATAAAGTTGACCTGTTCTTTTTTGTTGGTTTTTGTTTTCTGCGTTTTTTATGTTATAATCCGTGTTTGTACTGATTTATTCTTTGCGGTGTGTTAACTCTCCTAGGTTTCAAAACTTGAAAAGATTCACAACGAAAGGCAACAGGTAAATAGACCTATTTTGAAACTTTATTTTGGTGAATGATTTATGATTTATTGACCGGCTTCGTCTGTAGCTTAATGTAATTGTCTTGTCCGTTTCAGACCATTGCACAACTTGACAAGATTTTAGAGAAAGTCGCACAACAGCACGGTGAAATGGCGTCGAAATTTCAGGGGGAAATAGCAGATTTAAAACCCAGAGAGGAGGAGATGAAGGTTAGTGTTGTTTGGTTGTCTGTTTAACGTTCCACGATGAATAATTGGCCTAATTAATGTTAATGGTATGGTATTAATAGTGTTATTAAATACAATTGATTACTACTATTACTTGGAGAGTTTTCCAGACACGAGTTCACAAATCTTTGATTTATGTTGGAAACCTTGCCAGAGAATCTTTCTCTCTCTTTGACCGGAATAAGACTCAGCCCCAAACAAGCAAGACGAGTGAACAACGGCTAGCTTATCACTAGCAGATTGATGGACATTTACAGAAATTCGCCGACAATCAAATTCTGTGCTGACTTATTCCCTGCTCACAGATGTCCTTCCGTTATAAAGTTTCAAATAAGACTAGAATGCGCTAGCGTGAATCGATCAAACGTCCTTTTAATTTCTAAGGCTTACTTTCCGGCAAATAAAATGAACTGAATGTAAAAAGGGAAAGAGAAATAGCCAAAAATTCAACTTCTTATTAAATCTTTTCTTATGGTTTAGAATAAACTATTGTCGAGACTGAGCATGTTTTGATCAAAGCTGTGTAAATCGAGCTGAAACTGTGCATGGAACCTTGCGTTTCCTGTATTTATCTCACCTATTGTATGGAATATGTGTGAAAATCTTCATTATGAATCGGTATATTTCAAAGAGCTACACAACCAGCAAGAATACTATTGACCGACAATATACAGAACGGGGGCAGCTGTAGTGTCAACTATTACTAGTTATATATCAACATTATTTGTAAACTTCCGTAATATTGATTAGTTGAATTTTCCACCTTCCGCCGTAATTGTTATGCCATCTTCGAAAAATTGTAATTGAGGAGGCCTAATTAACATAAGCTCTATAGTTTCCTTTAGGCCTCCTCGTCATTTCTTCCTACATTTTTTTGGCATTTCTTTGTAATTATTGTAATCGTGTGGCAAATAAATAAATACAAATACAAATACAAATATGAATTATCTATCTGTCGAGCAGGGGTGGCGCAATGGTGAGAGCACTTGCCTCCCGCCCATGTGGCCCGGGTTCAAATTCCGGCGTTGACGCCATAGGGGTTTGAGTTTGTTGTTGATTTTCTACTTTTTCCCCGGGTACTTCGGTTTTTCCCTTACCTCGAAAACCAAGATTTTTAAATTCCAATTTGACCAGGAAATGTAGTCGATCACGAAGAACCACTTTATGGATGCGCTACCTCCTGCTTTTTCGCTGCCACGAAAATCATACCGGATAGGGCTGTTCACAGACAACAATGGTTGTGGCGAGGCGACTTCTGTAAAGGAGCGAAGCTGCGTCGCGTTCATCTCGAAAGTGGAGCGTCACATATCGGATAGCTGGTGCAGTGTGAACACCTATTCGGCCCGTCGCGGAAGTAAATAAGTAGGAGCGAGGCCTGGAACCCACTAAGACGGAAGTAAATATTGAGGAGTGAGGACTGGAATTAAGTGCACCAAACCCTCTAGGCCAACCGCGCCGGCACGATGTTCGATATGTGTTTGAAATATAGTACACGTATCTATCTTTAATATGTTTATAGCAGCACGTCACTGTTTGTTCCTCTTGTCTTGTTACAGAAGGAAACCATGGAACTTACAAAACGCCTGGATCATATCACGTGGAAGTCGGAGATGATGGAAAAGAAAATGGCTGACATGGAGTCCTCGACTCAAATGATGAATAAAGCTATAGCTACAACACAGGAGTGCATTAATGATCTTAAGTAAGATCACTGTCTTTTATCAGATGCCCTGATGGTGTGCAGGCAAATGAAACAAATTTGTTGTCGCAACTGGTTCCGGGAGGGGGAGGGGGGGTACTCAACAAATGTTTATGCTGGTAGGCTCCGCCCCGAGGTCCAACCCCTTACCCTTTCATATACCATTTTTCACGAAAAAGGTAGCCCTGTTGTATTCCTTCTATTGACAAATGATACCGCTTTGACATACCTTGTTTAGAACTTTGCACCTTTTAACTGCTGTAAATGCACCGTCTTTTAAATAGGAATCCATCACAAAAGTAGAACATTTTCTCGATTTTTAAAGCCATAAAATTCATCTGTTGGCCCTTTTGGGCCCTTTCACAGACCAAAATGACAGCCTGATTTCCCCACCCTTTTATATACTTCAACTAGTGAAATCCCTTCCCTTTCATATACCTGAAGCCTGAAAAAGATACCCTTTCGGGCGGGGCCTCCCCGTATAGGCCATCATAGGAAGTACCCCCTCCCCCCCCAGGGTTGGTTACCCACCAGTTTTTTTATTTTGCGTTTTTTTCTAGCTAGGCATTTAAAAGGGCGGGCGGGCGGGCGAAAACACGCCACGCGGGCGGGCTACACCATTTGCTAAGGCTGGAAAAACTAGAACATATAGGTGAAACAAGTTAAATAATTCGTCCCGTAAAATGTCAACTGAGTTTTTATGATGTGTTGCTTTTCAGTGAGGAAATGACGGAGTTGAAAATACAGATAGAAACTGGATTCGAGACTGAGCAAGACTTAAAGAAATCTTTGCTTCAGCTTGAAGGTAATGATGTCTAGCATATACTTCCTGAACAACGTCACAGTTTGTCCGCACTGCCTCGAGAACTGCTGCATCCGGGGTCTACATTACATAAAATACATGACAACAACAACAACAACAAATTTTATTGAAAATTGGAAAATAACTAATTACATTACTTTCCCACCCGCAAAAAGCTTATAAACAAATCGAGGCGGGGGGAGCTGAAGACGTATTACAAAACAAGATTTATATGTAGATGGACTAAATAACAGTGAAGACACTACTACACAGTTAATGGAATTTAAACTAACATAAAACAAGGCAAGTACATAACGATTACGAAGAGAGGCTGACATGAGAGTATTAAATAACTTAATAAGACTTTAGATTTGAGATCGTTATTTTCTCTTCGTAGGTTGACAATAGACTCAGGCATAATATGAAACAAAATAACCAAACAAATAGGAAAAAGCAGAAGGAAAACTTAAACATTAGAAGTTTACGAAATGTTACGCGGAGCACTCAAACACACGACCGTCCATCTTATCCACATCACGGGGTCATATGTAGCTCACATGTAGCTCAAAAGTTCTGAAAAATGCTATGGGTTTGATCCATGTAGTTTCCACTCAACCACTTCTGGCTGCACTAAACCAGACATGCTGTTTATTATTTTCCCTTTCAGAGCGACTAAGCCGTGGAAAAGAAAGTCATGAGTTGCACATGTGTGAAAGAAATACAGTGTTAACAACAAATCAAGTAAGAAAGATGAATGATATGTACCAAACACGAGATCATCTCAGTGTTTGTATTCGATATCCCTGAGACACTAAGAAGTGGATCGTAAAAAACAAGGCTTAGCCGTGATGTTTAACACTGACGTCTTCGGCTAAGCTCATGCGACACTCGACGAATTTTCCGGAAGTGACGGGCCACTTGGTTCATATGGGACGGTTCAACATTTTCGCTCTGTTCACACGGAACTTTAACCGGCTAGGCGTCTAAATTTTCGTACAGTTAAGGTGGTTCCGTATGAACGAAACAACTTAACGCACGAATTTTCAACTTGTCGAAAATTCGTCTGGATTTCGCATGAAGCATTGCGTCGACAGTTTGATATAACTTCTCAATTAATAAACTGCCTTCCTTAAGTGTAATTACAGATTCTAGTTTAGTAACTAAATGTTCTATTTCATTACCTTAGGCTGGAGTGACGACCGCCTTGAGTGAAAACAACAAGTTAGCGGTAATTTATCAAAAATTACAAAACACATTTCTCAACAACAAAGCTGCCTTGCTGCGACTTGTTGAAAGAAGAGTTAACAACGAAGGAAGTTTGAAGGACCACAGGGAAGTAAGTTAAATCCTTTATTATAATATCACTTCGTTCCAAATTTGAAATGAAGCAAACAAAAATAATTAAGGACCGGATTACTTCTCTAACCTGCATCTAGCCCTAAAAACTACTCGTTCCTCTTGAGTTTTGACGTCATTGTCGACGTCATTTCTTTTCGAAATTGTTATCGTAATGAAAAGCACCCTGAGTGTCGCGATGATCAAAGCTAAGTCAGCTGCTCGACTGGCCTATCACAGCTCTCCAAGGCACCAGTCATTTCTGAGCCAGGTCATGTAACATACCGCAATCACGGAAACATGCGTACCAGCAAATCATTAGCCTGCGTAGCTGGGGGGGTTGTCAGTTGAGCTCGGGGTTTCTTTCTTGGCACCTGAGCCGCGAGAGATTTGGCTTTCTCCCAACTTTCACGCGGCTTCGCCGCCAAAAAAAAAAACTACACCACCCGCATACTAATCCCGCCAGCTACACGGGTTAACAATATCATGATTGACCTTTGATTGGTTGAGAAAGTGTTGGAAATGAATTGTAGCGGTACAAGACTAGGCTGCGTGGCAGGCGTTTGAAGGGAAAGGGAGAGTGGGAATAAAGCACGCTCCCGAGAACACGATAGCGACCCTTCATGTACTCACTCTCTCCTGTGAAACGACCCTAATGGCGAATAATAAGGAGAGACGGCTGTTTTCGCAGGCTACACTTTTCCTTGCCGAGTGAAAAAACTTGAGAACGGTTTAAGTAAAAAAAACAAAGCTTTTTATTCCCCGCGGCGTTAACGTGGCTGGTGCTTGATATCGGTCAACTACTTTTGAACTAAGAAGTAACTTCATCTCTCTCTTTCTTTCTCAATTTTTTAGCTGTATGTTCTACAAGGTCGAATGCGTGAAGCTCTCGAGTATTTTTATCGTCTGCGTGGCTTACAAAGCAGAGCGGACATTGCTGACTTCGAACTGAAGTGCGTCACAAATGGAGACAAGTTGGTGACTTTACAGTCTGAAATGATGAGAGTCATCGAACATATTAATCGCTTCCTAGAAGCAAACAATGCTGCTCATGATATTATCTCAATGGAGGCTGCAAAGATTGCACAAACACCGGCGACCAATGGTACTCTTGTTTCTTAAAACATGGCTTTGGGCAGTTCACGCTACTGTAAATAGAACTTGAGAAAAAGATACAATGTAAACGAATTTATGACCGCAGGAGATATTAAAACATTTACAAACTGATTACAACAAGAGTACATTAGAGAGTTTTTGCTTAATAAAGTCTTTAAGGATCTTTACCAAAAAAAAGTCTGATGTGCTCAGCTGTTACCGCATCTTAGCGAAGTGGTGGGGTTAACTGTTACGACCGTTACAAATCAGTGTTTCTTCCACCCTAAACGTCCAAGTGCTTACAGGAAACATTTTTCATGTTTTTGAAATTTCATAAAACTTTATTTTTGCCAGAGCTCGCTGGCTCGCAGATCTATTTTCCGGCCCCAGTCTGTAAACTCTTCTGGAAAGCAAAGCGCAACAGCTCAGTAAACCAGAACAAGCATGCTTTATCTAGCATAAATATTTAGGAAAAAAGGACTCACAAATTTTCAGCTCTGAGTATCAGGGTAAACGTCTTTTTAAAATATCATGGTTTTTTTTGTTGTTGTTTGTTTTTTCGATTTTCTCCGGCGTTACTATCACGTGGGGTGACCATCGGGTGCAATTATCGCGTGCATGGTATTAATCATGTGACAGTCACGACTCCCAATCTACTCCACTAGTTGCGTACTGTCTGCATCATGGCGTTTTGGCTCGTAGTCTTCTTGTCTTTCCTTTCCATTACGTTTGGAAAGTCCGTTCCCTTGAGAGATTTGCCTCCAAGATGGCCGACTGCCTATTCGGTTTCTGGAGTTCTTCGCTTGCCTTACGCTGAAATCGTGGAACCATTTCAAGCCTGGTTTGACGCGCAAAATGGAAGGAGCAGAATAGATTACTACGGGGGTAAAATTAACAGATAGTTCTAACTTTTGAATCAACCTAATTACGGTGATATAGTTTCTATTTTTAAATTAAAGGTCAGTATTTGAAGCTCAGAGCTTATATTGAAGAAGGGCATTTTTTCCTCCGTAATAGTATTATAATCGCGACACCATTTTATAAAATTCTTTTATGACAAGCTTAATTATTTTTCTGTTCGTACTCTAAGAAAAATCATGTTCGCAAACTGTCAAAACAAGTTTATCCATCAAAAATGTCTTTTTCAATCCTTCATATTAAATGGCGGGTAGGAGGGGGCCAGGAGCTGAGGGGAGTTTTGTCGAGGTGGGGGGTCAGAGGGGAACTGCTTATTAAAATAGAGGAGACCAAACGTACATTGTATGTAACTATTTATTAACCTTTGCAAGAAACAAACAAATGATGCTTCTGTCTTAACAGCAGTAAGCTAATTCTAAAGTGGGCCTTCAGCATGTTGAAAAACAATTCCTAATTTTTATTAGTGGTTATTGGGTACAGAGGTGTTTTTTCAGCCATTTCAGGCCTGGTTAAACGGTGAATGAAAGAAGACTTCAGAAGGTATCACAAGATCTACTGAATTTCTCTGTTGTGCTCTTTACTATCCTAGCTATGTGGAGTAAATTTTAAAAATTAAGATGATTACCCTTAACTATTAGCTGCTTCCGTTTTAATACTTACATTATTATACTAGTTGGAATTGTAATGATTATCAAAGGTCAAAGAATGGTGTGAGCATTGCAATTCAATAAGAATTATTAAATTACATGAATTTAGCCTGCACAGCAAGTGTTTCTGCACGAGTTCATCAAGAAAGTTAACACAAGAGCAAAAAAGAGGAATGAGAGGGGAGGGGAGAAATAAGGAAACGCTTGCCTGCAAACCCTAGATTTTGAAAAAACTGTGTTCGTGTACGAACGCAGCTTCTGATTGGTGTGGTGTCAGTAGTGTTGATTGAATATCGATCAATAAATCAATCAAACCAGGTATGTTTTTGTTTAGCCTCCCTGCAGACGTCCTTTGGGGTTCGTTTGTCACGCATTCATTTCTCTCCCACGGATGTCGGCTGTGTTTAGCAGACGTCCATGGGGGAGAAATGAATGCGTGACAAACGAACCCCAAAGGACGTCTGCGGGGAGGCTAGTTTTTGTTGTGCATCGCAAATCTGGTCTGATAGTGATGTGGTCTCTGGTTGCAGATTATAAATGCCTTTTGGACTGGTATTTATTTGAATCATGTTAACTGTGCAAAGGTTTATCAGATCTGAGCTGAAAGGAGGTTGTTTTTTCACCCCTTCAAAGAATAATTTGGAGATTGAGCAGTGGGGACTAGTAAAGGCTAATTTATTGGGAATGACAGCATGCGGATCTGACTGGAAAAATTGGACTGTTTGTTAGAGATAACATAGCCCCTTTTGGTTTGCATGCGGGCAAGCGTTTCCTCTTCTCCCCCCCCCCCCCATCCCCCTAACCTTGCATTTGTTTTGCTCCTACTCCAACTTTCATGGAATAACTCATCTGGAAACACTTGCTATGCAGGCTGCATGAATTATTGAATGTGTACTGGGTGAGTGCCAACAGCCAATTTCTTCCATTATTCTTTAAATGTCATCTCTAAATGACCTGCAGTGTTTTTAACCTTAGTACCAAATTATCTCAAATTGCATGTACCCTCCTAATAGGTGGTAGTGCGATGTATGACATTTGCAGACTGCAGACTGCATGAGGCAGCAAGACTGTAAATTGAATGAAACCAAAAATATTGTAATAAAGGTGGCGTCATCATCAACATTATTACCTTGTTCCGAGATGTACATGTAAGGCCTAGAAGCGAAGTTTATATTTTTCACGCAAATTACACTGACCTGATTCCTGAAGGAGTTGTTGGCTGTTCTGCTCGTATTGCATTGAATTAGAGCAGAATAATGTCTGCCGATGTCACAAACTCGCTCATGAATCCATAGCAACAGGCTAGCAATTTAGCCTGCACCACAGAGGAAACTAAACTCTGGTTATATAAGTCTGTCACGTCTGTGTAACAGTGCTGGAATCCTTATTCTACAGGGGCCCCACCTGTGTACTAGGATTTGAGTATGAGCAATGCATGATTGGCCTGTTAAATATGCCGTTGTCAATTTGTCTATTTAGAAATTCAAAATGCACTTCCGGTAATTCGTCGAGTCCAGGTAGAATCTGTTTGGTTTAGATTATTTGGCATATCCTTAAATACTGCTAAGATGAAATACGTCATTTAAAAGGTGTTAAATGTCCGTGATCTATCCTAAACGTTTTTGTCGACGTAACTGTAGTGAGCACGAAGTGCTCGCAATCTAAACACTTTTTTTTACAGAAGACTACTATTTAGACAGGCATTTATGAGCATTGCTACTTGTCATTATCAATTCACTATAAACAAAGAAGAATAAAGAATCAACACAATTAGTGATATGCCGGGTGAGTCAATAAAGAGTCGCGTCGGTGAAGAATAGCCAACAGCATCTTGGAAATGAGTTCAATGTAACTTTGCGCAAAAATATCAACCTTGTTCCCAGGCTACTTTCTCACTTTCACACGATGTTATATTTTTAATGGTGTCACCTTTAGTAGGAAGACTTTTGGTGTCTTTTAATTTACAATCTGCCGTCTGCAGTGTGCAGTCTGCGATCTGCAAATGTCGTACACTGGTGGTAGTGTTGGTAGAGTATTGTACCTCAATGTATGATAGTTTTTATGTAGAAAATGCAGATAGGGGTGACAGCCTGGCTATCGGATGTCAGTAAGCTGAAAGGCTTTCTGTACTCTCTTTTGCCATTAGCCACTTAAAATGGCTTCCTATATCATCATTGCCTCTATATAAGTAAGGCAGATTTCATGGGTGAATTAAAATTAAAGCAAATGAGGAAGAAATATTGCCTTTCTCTAGGGATGGACAGCACAATTCAGAGAGCTGATGAGAAGCCGTATGGTGTAAATTACAGGATATGTCCTGAAACCACAGAAACCCAAATGAATGTTCGCCGCTGTTTTGCAGTCAATGGCTCAGAGGCTGCACCCACTGCAACACAGCCAGTTTTACCTGATCTATCTCATTTTGAGGTACTTAAATATTTTTCTCATGCTGTTTTGCTTGTTTATTCCACTGTACAGTATAGTAATCAACAGGCATTGGTTCAAGTGTTTTCTAACAGGCCCTGGTAAGTGCTATCCACCAGGCCCTTGTTGTTCAATATATAGGTTAGCCTGAGTATCAGGCCTTCCTAAGGGGCTAGGGGAGAGGAGATTTTAGATGGGGGAGGGGGAGGGGGAGAAGAGAAAGGAAGGCCTGACACAAAACCATTCAGCAAACCGTGTGACACATCCAAAATCTGGATGTGGCAGTGATTGGATAACACACAATACCCCCTGACGTCACCGACCGCAAGAGCGATCGGCAAGAAGCAATTGACATTTTTCATAGATGTTTTGATTTCATGTTACCGGTATGTGATACTTTTATGGACAGAGGGGACGCAGAGAGGAATTCAAAACGGCTCTAGAGGGCGCTCTCAAGTTCTTTCCTGGAATAAAAATAAAATCCGAGCAAGAATTGTGTTTTCAAGGCCTCGTAGTTTAAAGGAAAGATGTACTCGGAGTATGGAAAAGCCTCATATACCAGCTTCTGCCGAAACTATGTCTGAGTATTGGTTTCAAAAGACCGGGACAAAGACGACGATATCAGTGTTTCAGATATCTAAGTTCTGATTTACAACATCCTGCCGTTAAAAGGGGATTGTTACTGTAACTGAAAATAGAGCGAGGTAGCCATGTATTGAGATAGCCGACAGCACCAATGCTTTTAAAAAGCTTGACTTTGCTTGTGGCGGTTACGATAGCGTACGTGATTGGAATTCGTTCGCTTCCTCTTCCAAAATTCTCTCACTTTTGAAATGTCTTAAGCTCAAGCGGGCGCCATCATATTTCGCCAACGGGATTGACCTTTGCTATAGGCTCTCACTTTTTTAAAACTTGTAACAGCTTTCACAAGCTCTCCGTGAAGTGGTGGAATTTGCTGCTGCTTGATAATTTCTAGGCATAGGTGTTTCACCACCGCACCTTGCTATTTATTCTTGCAGCTCCTTTCCACCGCCCGAGGATACGAGGGATAACATCAGCTTTTTAGCTGCCAGACAAGCGCCTGATGTAACTCTGTAAACAAAAACAATTTACAATTTTCTGGGGCACGTTTATTTACGAACGAGAGCGTTGGCGATCTTACACTAACACAATTTTTAAGACATGTTATAATTCCTGTAATGTTTTACGTTACAAGTATTCAAAAACTCCTCATTGGAGGTTTTAAAAAAAACGAAATCGTAGCAACACAAACACCGGAGCTCGGCCAAACCGTTGAGTGAGATTTATTTTAGGCGAGCTTTTTGACACGTGAAGCTGACAACCCAATGACCGGAAGTGATTTTGATTGGATGGTATCGAATCATGCTGTGTCGGGGTGGAAGGCTCCGGTAAAAGCATCTGTGTCAGGCGTTTCTCTCCTTCACCTCTCTCCCCCTTTTTCGCTTCCATCTTTCCCCTTTTCCCCAGAAACGCCTGATACTCAGGCTATATATAGGTGGATAACACTATCCAGTAGTGGCCATGGAGAAATCTATATCCAGTGGAATATATAATGCAATAGTTTCACCAGTACAGTCATTCCCCATTAATAGTGGAGCTCCACACATGTGAACGGAGCCCCATACCCAAGAAAATTTGGTAATCTATCCATCCGGTAAATTTTGGTAATCACATGACCATACATCCATCCACACCACAGGGCAACCAATGTGTAATGTCAAACTTTCTAGCTAGTGTGGGCTGCCTGTAATCTGTGTTAACTTGATAACAGACATCCATATTAAGGTCAATTGACAGCTGTCATGTGACCAGTGTCACATGACTGTATTGTGGGCTCAGGTGAAAAGTCATTGAGGTCATGTGTTTTTTTAAAGCTTTCAGCTGACTAGTTCTCAGCTTTTAATATTGATCGCAGGCTCAAGTTTACGTTTTTCAGTCATATGGTTCTCCCCTAAAGTTAAATATAGATTTGTGGATTTCTTTGCAATGGGTTAAAGTCCATTATCTGAAGTAAATTTTAAATGCATAAATGGGAGCTAAGCTTTTCTCTCTGGCTAAATCTAATTATATTAGCATACATAACTAAGCATAACTTTGTTTCTTTTGTAACTCAAGGCCGTTCTAGGCAAAGCAATTCCTTTGACTTAAAAATTCCTATTTCCAAAATGTCTGCAGTTCAGGGCCTCGTACTTTAATAGGATTGTCAAATTATGGTCAACTTCAGTTGTAAGTTTGTGCCCCCGGGGGCTTGTGCTCAGAAATTGCCCTCAAATTCAAAATTATAAAACAAAGAAAAACATGTACGGTAACACATAAACTTTTGCATTTGCCAAAGAACGCATACATCAATATACTGTGCCACTTTTTTACTGCAATCATTTGGGACACGTAATAGTTCACTCTTCAGTCTTCGCTTAGATTTCCTTGGTCCATATATATAGACAAATTAAAGTACTTGCATGGCTGAGATTTGGAAAGATCTACGCCTTCAAGGCGAGTTTCAGTAATAACTTGGTGCTAAGCTAGCCCAGTGGATTTTGAGGTGCATATTTCCCTCCCAGTAAAAGCCTAGACAATTTTGAAATGCTAATTTCCGTCTGTATGTAAGTCCCTCAAAATTAAAAAAGGGCCTTTGAAAAATATAAGCCCTGGGGCTAATATTTTCGGAATTTTACAATAATTCTTTTGAGATCACTTCATGTAACAATATCTTTGTCTTCAATCTCATGGAGTAGTGACTTTGCGAATATTTACCCCATTTTCTTTGTAGTTTGCTGGCTACAAGTCATGTGGAACAAGCAACTGTTCTTTGTGGATCTACAGAAAAACTGAGGGGTACAAGGAAAACACATACACCATGTACACAACACCTACAACCAATCCTGTAAAGCCTGTTCATTATGAAATGCTTGGATATGATACCCTTCTGGGCTCTCACTATGATAAATATGAAATGGACTTTGTAGATTACTCTGATGAAATGCCACCTCCTGATGTATTTGATGTCCCTGAAGGTATGGAATATTGTTGTTCTTACCTGCCAGTGCACAAATAATTGCAGAAGAAAGAAGATACTTTTCCATTTTAGGTGGTGGGTTAGGGTGGCTTTAAAGAGGAAAGTGGCAACAGGGACTAATATTAACCCTATTCACTTTTCAACTTTCCATGTAAAATATCTCCATGGAATTCGATGTGCTAATCCTCCATGGAATTCCATAGAGTATCCTACACCTGCCAACTTTTTCTGAGATATAAGCGTGAGATTTTTATCCTGGGAGTGCTGGAATTTTTGAAGACAACACGATCATTTCCAAAGATTCCCAAAGAAGTCCGAAGTCTTCTGAAGACGTCCGAAGTCTTTTGATGACGTCCAAAGTCTGCCGAAGGCGAGCTCGCTCCCAGTGCTTTTCACTTCAAAATCCAGAGATTTTTCACATTTTTTCAATCAGGCGTGAGAAATTGGCCCGCAAGCATGAGCCGGCGTGAGAAGTTTTCAACCCACAGGCGTGAGAGTTGGCAGGTATAGTATCCATGGAGTATTAATTTGTGGAGTTATTTTACATGGGTTACCAGGGTGGTCAGGTTCCAGTGGATAAGGCTTTTGCAAATTCTGCTTTTTACAAACTTTGACTCATGAAAGAGCTTTTTAGATTTGCCTCAGAAACAGCAGTTAAAGTCATCAAGTTGCAAACAAAACCTGTTGATAGTTTTGTATTTTCAGTTTGTATCAATAATAGTGTTACTCAGGTAGCAAAGCTTGAAGCTTAAAAGTTTGTGTGATTTAAAGGTTAGTTGGAAGTATAGAAACCCATCTTCTTGAAGCCTGTGACTGGGCTGACGTCAGTGATCTCATGTCTCTGTAAGGCATTCACTTACACTATCAAACAGTTGACTTGCCATACTGGCAAAAAGCAATTTAGTATATGCCTTCATGGTTTTTGAAGTTTGAGAGAGTCACTGTTCTGCCATTCTGTTACTTGTGTGTATTTTTGCTTTATACATACCCCTCGCCAGCTCAGCTGATGAGGTGGCAGGGTGATGAATTCAGTTTTGAAGTACTATCATAACCTCTTTATCTTTAATATTATTATTCATTCAAAAGATTTCTCCATATATTTCTGATTGGCCAAAAGCACATGCATAATTCATCATAAAGAGCTACTGTCCCGGGGGGGGCACTTGGGTATTTTTTGGGTGGATATGTGCCGCCCGGGACTCCAAATTGGCACCCGGTTCTAAAAAAAATGTCCCCTAAAATTGATACCCCGTTCTAAAAATGGGCCAATTTTTTATACCCCGTTCTAGAATTTGCCCTAAAACTGATACCCCGTTCTAGAAATGGGCCAATTTTTTAAACTCCGTTCTAGGAAGTTAAATTGAAATAGCCCTGTTTTTTTTTTAAAGATATTTCTTTATTATTTTGTTCGACTTTACATCAAATCAATGCTTCTTCATAATCAGCAACAATTTTAAGCAGAAGATAAAGCCTTGATGCACAATTTTTTATACCCCGTTCTAGAAAATGCCTCTGAAATGGATACCCCTTTCTAAATCAGGAGCTTCAAAATCACGACCCCGTTGGGCAGCACATACCCATATAGGTAATGTATGGCAGTGCCCCCCCCCCCCCCCCCCCCCCCCCCCCCCCCCCAGCTTAGAGAGAAAAAATTTGTGTTTGTATGTGTAATTTTTAATTTAAGACAAAAAAAAAAAAAAATTAAATTGAAATAAAAAAAAAAAAAACACAAAGAAAAATTGATTTGTGTTGGGGTGGAAAAACAGAATAAAAACACAACAGACAAACACATTTTTATTTGTGTTGAGGGTGATAGATAAAACAAACAAACAAAAACAAATGGGCCCCCCCCCCCCCCCCCGGGGCTACTGTTGACCAAATTTGGAAAGAAGTTTGTTGTATTGAACCGATGATGTCTAAAGTGCAGCCAAAAATGTAGATTATTGAACTGTTAACCAAGAAAACCTGGGACAAGGTTAAGTTGTTTTGGTAGTGAGAACAAAATGGCTGAACAGTCAGCCAAACATTTTACTCGTTTCTTGGTGAAGTACTGTCTAAAATCATAGCAAGAACAGCAAGAAGACACCTTGACGAACATCTGCTATTCGGAGTATATTTGCAGACCTGAACAGACCTTAATATTATTTATCTCCTAAAGTTGCCAATAAAGATGCGCTATCCATATCAACTTAACATTGACCAAGGTAGGCACATTTTAGCTTGTTTTTAAACTTAGAGTTATTTTGAATGAATATATAATAAAACAATTATTGAATTTGGCTTTCGTAGGATGTGAAGAATTCTGCAGATCTTGGCGGGTGTTATCCACCTTGCAGAATTCTTCATATCCTACTCAGCCTCATTCAATAATTGCTAAATATTTCTCAGTCAATAACTTAAAGATTATGCCCTTATTTATTTATTTATTTATTTATTTATTTATTTATTTATTTTATTTTAGGAATGACATGCACAGGTTTCCCTGGTCCTGGATCTATGTCAAGTCTGTTAGCTAATCCCATGGAAGAATTCATTGAGCCCAATGGCCCGGAGAGAGTCCATGAAATGTTTGAACACTTCTTGCTTAAGTTTCCCAAAAGATATGCCAACACAGTGGATAGGAAAGAGCACAACCAGCGCAGAGACATCTTCAGGCAAAACTTGAGGTAACTAAAAATTAACAAGAACGCTGTTAAAAAAGCGTTAAGTCTTGCTTGCTTGGAGACTAGATAAGAACTGAGGAGGTGATTAATTCTACAGTTAACAGGATTTCCTTGATGAAAGTTTTTCACTTCCTACTTGTCTGAACAAGGATAGATTTGACTCCTCAGTTGACAATAAATTAAGTCTGTATAATGACGTGAAAAACGAAGTCAGATTTGAATCTTATCTTGATTTAATAAAGAGTCGTTAAGACAAGAGTGGCAGAAACCAAAATGCGAATTTCTTGCCTCTTGCTACCTATTGAATCTGGGCGCTACACGAAGATACCCAGAGTTGAGAGGCTTTGCCCCCTTTGTAATAGATCCGAAATTGGTGATGAATTCCACTGGTGATGAAAATGTACCAACTCATCACTTTCTCATAAAAGGGGTATCTTCTTGGAGAGCCTATACTCAATAAACAGTAATTTTACGAATATGTCTTGCAAGGTACCATTTTTATATATCATGTCTATGTGCGATGGAAACATCATAAATCTCAGTGCCTCTTATATTGAAAATATTCTAAATTGTTATGCATCCGAACTCTAATTAAACTTTCTTACCATACGAGTAGCGTAGAAGCCGTACAAATTAGCCAAGTAATTTTTCTTTTATGATAATATTCAATTGTTCCTGTCTTTCTTACTTAACTTTTATTGTACTTTTTTCATTTGTTATTGTTTTGGTACTGAAATCTTCATGTCGAAGATAAAGTCAATAAAGTTGTTGTTGTAGTATTCTTCACGATATTTACTTTTCATATTGGATTCAACGATTATTGAGAATGCGTGTATAAATACATGAAAATCAATTCAAGAAAAATAGCATCATTGCCAGAGACAAAAAACGTGATGAGCATCGCGCATCCAGGGCTGTCATTAAGGTTTTCAGCAGCCATAGCAACTGAAGATTTACGTGTAATATCTCACAAAAATTTTTAGTGCCACCTCTAGCTTTCCACTTTGATCACTCTTAACATCAAGTGAGCTCAGCCGTGACAGCTGTTACAGGTTACGGCCCTTATGACACCTCTGGCATCATTTCAATCATTGGCGAAAATGAACTGCATGCTCATCACATTAAGACGCATTTGCATGCAATGAAAGTTCAACATCTTTCTCATCAATCTTTTGTACGCTTTGCATGGCACTGTGACATGTTGGGATTCTTATCCCCAGTTTCCACTTTCTTCACAGTAACACCTGGGACCACAAACCCCTTTTGGCATGCACACACGAAAAGAAAAAAAGAAAAAAAGAAACATTTGCGTTTTTAGAGTCCCACGAGGCCGATAAACCCAGCAAAAATTGTAGGCTACAATGATGTTACTATTTTACCAGTAATTCATTTGTTAAAAAAAATTCCAAATGCCGAACATTAGAATAGAGTGTAACACCTTATGTCAAATTATTGTGACTAGTGTGGTTGGCCTCATATAAGTTTGTGTCATCTTCAGGCATTTTTTTTTTCAGAAGGAAACTGGTAAGTATTTTTTGGTGCAGAGCTGTAACCATGGTTTTTTTTCCTTCCAGGTTCATTAACTCTCACAATCGAAAGCATGTTAGTTTCCAAGTTGGCGTCAATCATTTAGCAGACAGGTCACCTAAGGAGCTTGCAGTGCTAAGGGGACGTACACATACCAGTGCTTACAATGGTGGACTTCCATTCAATCCAGACCTGTCAACGTTAAAAGATGTTCCAGACAATATGGATTGGCGACTTTATGGTAATAAAATGTCAAGCCAGTACTGCACAGACATCCCCTATTTAAACCTAAAGCAAAGTAATTATAAATAGGTGACATTTACATGCCTGTTGAAACCTGAGTTCTACACATCCAAACATAAAATGATTTAATAAAAAATAGGGAAGCTGAGTAATTAGCCCCGCCCTATAGTTCTACCTCTGGCTAACACTAGCTACCATGTCAGGATTTATGATGTTCAAGCACTAAAGCTGTCCTTAAAAATTCCAAAATATGCTCACAATATTAATTTTTATCACAGTTGGGTTGTTTTTTCTTCGAGTCAAAAGGATTTTGTTATGACAAGTAGTAATGTTTAATTTGTTTGGTTGACTGTTCAGGCGCAGTGACACCTGTAAAGGACCAAGCTGTTTGTGGTTCATGTTGGAGTTTCGGTGCAACAGGAACAATTGAAGGTGCTCTGTTTCTTAAGGTGTGTGATTTGTACCAATAGTCAGTAAAATAATGACTAATAATCCTAGGTGATAACAAATCCAAATTGCACAGTATTACTTACAAGAATGCTCTTAGAGCGGAATAAGTCTCGCTTGCTTGGAGATTAGATCGAGAAATGAGGATAAGATTAATTCTACACGAAACAGGATTTACTCGCTAAAGGTTTTTAACTTCCTACTTTATCGACGGTCGATTCTTCAGGATATTTACTTTTTATTTGTTTCTGAATTGATAGCGACGACCGTAAATACGTCCGCGGTCGCAGGCTGTACACTTGTATAAATACACGAAAATTCAAGGGCCTCGATGCCAGAGAAATTACATCATTGCCAGATATCAAAAAAGTGATTTATATGGCACGTCATTTCTCACACCGAGAACTAGGTGACTGATTCCATGACTAAAACAGTTTTTATATGTCATAGAGCATTTTTAAGCCAATAATAAGTATATGTATATAGCATATACGATATATTATCGTAGCTATTTCTTAATTTAATTTTATTCCTATTTTCCCATTTATTATTAACAATTAGATTTGTAAATTAGTATTTTTCTCCTTCTTCTTTCTTTGTTCCATTTTGTAAATTAAATCGGAAGAGCCACGTAGTGGAGATTTAATAAAGATACTGTACTGTACTTTACTATTTCAATCATTGCCGAAAATAAACTGCATGCTCATCACAAGACCATTTTGCATACAATGAAAGTTTACAAAACCCGACTATCCCAGTTTTACCAATTAAGTTTCCTATTTTTTTTTCGAACGCGGTAGTGCTCACTTGTTCCAAAGTAATCAACCCTTTCAAGCGGTAGAATTCGTGGACCGACCAGTTCTGGAAAAACTCTAAATTTAATCTTTCGTGAGCTTTCTTCGCAAAACTTGCGTAGCTTCGGTCACGCAACGATTCTTATTCTCCGTTTCCATGGTCTCCGCTAGGAACGCCTGGGACCCCAACCGCCCTTTTGTGTCCTAAATACGAAAAAGAATTATGAGTCTCGCTGCTTACGCCAAGCCAAGCGAGACTAATTAAAGGTGGAGAAAGGTTGGAATATTTACAAGGGAGTCAGTCTTTGAAATTAAGAGCACCTGGGTGTAGATCTTGGGCTTCATGTTAATTTGTTAAATACCTCTCTAGTTTTGAACTGTCCACTTCATTCGGTTATTGGTTTGTACCGCAGCACTAACTGCAAGGTTGATTCAAGTCCCATCCAAGTAAAGGGTGTTTTCCACTTTCTTACCATTAGTGGTTAGAATGTATTTTGTAAGTGCACCTCTCTTTCCTCGTGATTGCTTTATTTTCACAGACAAAGAAGCTTGTCAGACTTTCTCAACAAAATTTGATCGATTGCTCGTGGGGTTTTGGCAACAATGGATGCGATGGTGGAGAGGAGTTTCGTTCATATCAGTGGGTAATGAAACATGGCGGAATATCTACAGAGGCAAGCTACGGACAGTACTTGGCTCAGGTAACTCATAACTTTGGAATTTCTCTTTGGTAACCTGAAGCGCTCAGCATGCTGCCAACTTTTCTAGAGAAGCGTGCAAGATGGAGACAATTCTCGATCCAGCTAGAGTTAAAAGGGTTTTTTGGAAACCGCCTTTGTACAGTTAAATTGTTATCCTTTTTTCAGTCAAAGCAGGAAAATGCTCATGGTGGTAATAATAATGAACGATGCTGAGTGTGCGTGAGCCTAATAATATGTGCAGCATTTATGTGTCTGCAAGTACCGAAACCTAAAATGACTCTTTATGGCAAGAACTCAGTAAAGTACTTGGCGGCTATTACTTGGAACAAGATTTCTGATACCTTAAGATCCCTAACTACATTATCAGCTTTTAAAAAAGCAGTCCGACAGCAAAAGTTCTAGCTAATCCTATATAATATCCATGTTCTATTAAGTAATTGGCCTTTTTATTGTAAATAGCTATGTCACGTAATTTTAGGCTTTTATACTGTAAATAAGTTTTTGGATTTCCCTTTCTTTCTCTATTATTTTATTATTTTTTTCTCGGCTTATTAGCATATTTTTGCTAGAGGTCTAACCAACCTCATAAAACCCGAGATTAAATCATTCATTCATTCATTCATAATTCATTCATTCATTCTTCAACTGTAGTCTTATTTCTTGGTGTCTAGGATAGTCTGTGTCATAAGGGCGACATTGGCGCCCAGTTATCAGGGTATGTGAACGTTACATCTGGAGACCTTAACGCACTCAAGGTGGCTATTGCTCAGAATGGTCCAGTAGCTGTGGGAATTGATGCCTCACACAGGTCCTTTGCTTTCTATTCCTTTGGAGTATACTATGAGCCTCAGTGTGGTACGTGAAAAAACACACTAACAACGAAAGTTAGAAATATCGTAGCAACCTTAGCTTGAAGGGTAACGTAACTTCGTTTTTAATAACTCAGTCGCTTGTTTGTGTTGCGAAGATCCTCATGGCGGAGCTCTCTCGCGCCCAGCGGAGCACCATAGTCACGTGACCGTACGTCCGGCCGCGCGTCCGGCCACAGGTATACAGATGTAAAATAACTCAATCAACAGGTATGGCAACCCAAATGCAACTCGTGGTTTTTTTGGAGGGAAATCACATGGCCACGCTCGTCTTGTGAAGCAGAGACAATAGAGAGGAGAAGTCGTTACGTCACGTTGCGATGGTAGCAAAATTTCTGGATGACAACAAACCAAAACGTCACTTAAAAAGTGGATTCGCACTGTTTCAAACTTCATCGATTTTATTTAATTTCATTTAATTTGTTAAATGTTGGCGACATTTTCTGGGTTAAATCCGAAAGGACCGTATCTAAGTTTAAGAGTTTTGTGTTGTGTTCACCTACTCCATAAAACGGGCGCGTGAAATTTGGAAGTTTCATATCGCAGTCGTGCAACAACGGCTAAGAATTGTACAAAAAAGCGTAATGCACGTGCAAAGTTCTTTTTTTTTTTAACCAATCTGAACCTATTGTTTTTTTTTCTGTTCGCCGTCTCCCTTGCAAAACTCCCTAATTTTGAGATGCAGAAATTTTGTTACCACGGTAACGTGACGTCACACTTCTCTCTATTAAAGAGTCAATAAAGACAAAACGGAAAGCGGAAATTGTTTCCATATCCGTGTTGTCTGAAGTATTAAAGGTGATGTTACACGGGACGATTCGCAAAGACGATTTTTAGCGCAACACAGCGTTGCAATGTTGGAACGACTTGTGATTGTATTGCCGGCATCATCTATTAGGCGGCAGCCTAATAGAGCCGTGCGCGATTGTTCCAGGGGCAGAAAAAATCTCGAATCGATGTAACGTAGAGTAATGTAAGGCAACCATAACCATTTTGAAGTTTGACCACTAAATTTTACGCAAAATGACTTGTGCGCAACTTCGGACAAAAACACGAACTTCAATATCTCGAAAAATTTGCTGTGTAAGGTTGGGATTTCAAATTCTTTATACAGTAGAACAGTTTAGTTCAGTATTTTCAAAAGATAAATTAAAGCAAGGGGCACACATACACCAAACCTATGATTCGCCTTCCCCGCGCATGTCGTGGGAGAACTGCCGTGCAGATCCCAGCTAACAGCTCCCACATGTGTCGTGCGGAGCTGGCACTTAAAGGACTTGCCTCGGCGGGAAAGGGTCTTTTATACCCTAACCCTAACCCTAACCCTGGGGGCGCCTGAAAAACAAACAAAAAAAACACGGGTTTTCCCCGGTCACTGACCGACGGTTATGTCATGCAGATGCGAAACAGCTGTCCATGGTTGCCACTGCCCGCGTGATATGGCTGTGCGCGTTCGTGAGGTAATTGACCTCTCCAGAAAATACCATAACATACCATAATACTCTTTGCTTGTCATCCCAAAATTTTGCATAAGCATTGTTTTCAGTTTCTCTTGGGGCCTTTTCAGCTCCCAAGAGAAACTGAAGACAATGCTTATGCAAAATTTTGGGCTGACAAACAAAGAGTATTATGGTATGTTATGGTATTATCTGGAGTGGTCAATGGCTGCAGCCGTTGGTGTATGTGTGCACCTTGCTTTAATTTACTGGTAACTCGTGATCCACCTTCCCCGCGCATGTCGTGGTAGAACTGCTGTGCGGTTCCCAGCCAACAGCTCCTACATGTGTTGTGTGGAGCTGGCGCTTCATAGACTGCTTAGCACTCACGTCGGCAGTAGGGTGTTTTTGAGACGCGGGCTTTCCTCATTCATTAATCCAACGGCTTCGCCACGCTGGTGGGCCTCAATAAGGGCGAAACAGCTGTCTACGGCTGCCTCCCCCTTCGTGATATGGCTGTGCGCATGCGTGAGGTACTGGCCCGGCCTGGTGTATAAGCCTGGTGTATGTGTCCCCCTCTTTTACGTTTGCACTATTTTCAATGCAATTGAATTAAGTTCAATGAATTACTGTATTTCATGACATTTCTAAACAAATTCAACAGCGCGCGAGTATAGGTAAAATCTTCTTGCTCGTTGGCACTTAGCGATAGCTATAACTATTATAAGTATATTAACAAGAGCTTCGCTTTTAGCCCTGGCTAGATCTATATTATTATGATATGTTAAAATGAAAATTATCTCGTCGTGGTCTCTGAGCTAGTAATTAAACTCCCTCCCATAATTTTAACGGACAAAGTAATGTCACTGACCGCTTAAAAAGTGACTGTTTAGTTTTCAATTCGCCTCTTTCTTTCCGTGTAGGAAATAAGCCTGAAAATCTAGATCATGCGGTACTTGCTGTTGGTTATGGAACAATGAAAGGACAGGCCTACTGGCTAATCAAGAATTCCTGGTCCACCCACTGGGGGAATGATGGCTATGTCCTCATGTCACAGAAAGATAACAACTGTGGGGTTGCTACTGACGCAACCTTTGTTCACCTACAATAGCTCTCGAAGCTCTTACCAACCTACTTATTTTTACGTCCTTCAACACTTAACGATAAGAAAAGGGAAGGGATAAAACTAAGTTTCCACTTACTTGCGAAGCAAAATATAGATTTTTATATTCGAACAGATAAAAGGCACTGTGGTGTTTCGTCGGCACAGCAATGATTTTTAGTTAATATAAACTGAAGTGACCACCGTAAAAAAAATCAAAATTTTAATTCAAAAACCTAACTTCATTTAGCCGTTGTAACTGTATGTAGAAGCGATGCTTTGACTCGACAAGTGCATTTACTTCTTTGAATAAAAGTAATCTTAGTAGTCTTCTTCTTTGAATAAAAGTAATTTGTGAAAAAGCTGTAATGACATTGTGTAAAACAAGTGGACACTGTTATTTAGTATTTGTTTATTGCATTGCTTATGATGTAGTTTGCGTCGCTTGTAACAAGTTCTACCAAGTTAGATGGTTTAACATTTGTTTAATGGTGAATCAGTGTCACCATTATTGATTCGATGATTGATTGATGGAGGGATGGATGGATGGATGGATCCCGTTCCTCGGTCTTTCTTTGCTCCGAAACCAAAAACCAAAGGAAACGCTTGCTAAGAAGGCCAATGGATTGATTGATTGATTGATTTTTCTATCGCTCTCTAAAATTGATATCACAATGAGTTCTCAAAACAAGAATCCCCTTCGGCTGTGCATTCAAATGGCGCTCTATTTTGAGTTATCTCCTCCACCCTACCCGTGACATTTCAGCGTTAAATCGTTAAACAGATGAGGATTAAAACAATGGGAGAACCACACTTGGTTTAACATTCTTTCGTTTAATTATCAGCACTATTGAATGCTTACTCAGAGTGCTCAAGCAAGCCGCGCTTCACTAAAAATTCTGCTCTCGTCGATCTTGTTCAGTTTTTGTTCTTTACTGAGTGATATTTGCCTCACTATCTTTCTGAATTGGGCTTCTTAATTATGTATGGATGCAGTGATTTATTTCCATGCTTTCTTGGTAATCCAAGTCTAAATGGCCGAGTACATGAAGTGTGTGACGATGGTCTGATCCGGGTTGGCTCTTCTTTGTCAGCATTGGTGTATTCACCTCTGGTATGGGATAAGTCACTCCCTTGGTGAAAAAATGAAATATGTCAGTGGTGGAATTAGGAGTATTCACAACTTGATCATGTTTATCATATTTATTTAACATAACTCAAACGTTTCCCTGAATCCACGCAAACTTGAACTAGTTTTGCTTTAAAACATGTAACATTCCCGTTTAACTTGTTAGGCCTTTTTTTGGCCGCCTGCAGACCTCCATGCTTTGACCGGGTATGTTTAGTCAGGATTCTAATATCCCATTTTAAAACAAAATTTTTCTTAATCCCCTAAGTTTCATAGCCATACCTTAAACGGTTTTTGCATTTATGAAGGACTCGTATTTAGGAAGGCGTAATGTAATCCCTCAAACCGGTAATTGTGAACTCCTTTCGGCCCGTTATAACCATTAAACGAAGGCGTAGAACTCGTCATATAAAAACGTTAGCGATACCTGCAAGTGTGACGTCGGCGAATTTGTCATCCTCACTACGATTAGGAACTAGATGTTGGCTCTGAAAGGTCAGCTTACTTTTCAGTGGATTATTAGTCTCGTGCACGGTCTGAAAACAAAAACGTTTTATAGATCATTAGCGCTAACCCAGGGTTAAATTTTAACTCGGGTCTCTTTTTCTTTTCATCAAAAGCATTTTCTCGGACAATTTTCTCTATGCTTTTTAGAATAGCCAATCAAAAAATTGTTGACAAAAAGAATTAAACTGAATTTGCTTTTTAAGCTTTCATATCTGAATTCAAATTTCGAACTAACCCTCGGTTATCTTAACCCAGCTTTGAACAACTCGGCGCAGAGACCGCCGACTATTTAGCCCAATTGGCTGTATTCGAACTCAGCAGGGCCCAGTTGTTCGAACGCCGGTTAGCGCTAACCTGGGGTTAAATTTTAACTCGGGTTTCCGCGTTTGTTAAAAAGATAAAGAGTCTTTATCTTTTTAACAAACCCACTCTCTCAAATAATTTTCTCCATTCTTTTTAGAGTATCCAATCATCAAATTGTAGGCCAAGATAATTAAACTGAATTTACTTTTTAAGTTTTCATGTCTGAGTTCAAATTTCGTACTAACCCTTAGTTATCTCAACCCAGCTTCGAACAACCAGGCCCAGCTTCTGCGAGGTTCCGAGTTCTGATCCTGACCCACCCCCAAAGCTTTAAATTAACGGAAGAGAACGCCCTGCCAGTTTCGGATCTGCAGATGGTTAAAGTCTTCGGATAATGACCAACCCCACCTCTGCAGTGTTTTGTGATTTTATTCTTGTAAGACGCTAAATGACCTCAAGGGGCGGAACAATATGATAGGTTCTTTGAGATCTTTTCTGCGTTTTAAGAGTGGGTACTCCGTAGGGAGGGCACCTCACGTGGGGCCTGTGTGTCCTTTGCGTCAGTGGTGCCAAAGCCCATTGGACAGCCCTGTGCTAGTTAAGCTTATAACGTATTTTTAAAAAACTGGTTGACAAAAAAAGCACAATCTCATCCGACAAACCGCATCACCTTCTCCGCTTCGTAGTTCTTAAACTTACCACGACGTCATGTTCCCAACAAAATCAGTTAATGTCGACATTTTTGAGCCACAACTAAACGTGCAAACGTAGTATTAACAAAATACGAAACAACAAAGTGATGCTTTATATCACAAACCTGAGTTTTTTTTAGAGCTCCTTGGACAAACATCATAGCAAACTGCAGCATCTCAGGACCATCCAGTTCAGGCATTTCTTTCTCAATCTGTCCTCTTAGAAGGCAGTTGATGGTTTTCGTTTCATTTTTTGCATCTATATAAATCGAAAAAATAAATCAAATCCTCGGCAGAATAATTCAAATGAAGCAAGACAACTCTTCTTACTTTGGGAACCCGTTACAAGCTTCAGGTAAAAAAGTGGAACGTAAATGTAGACATCTTAGCTACTGTAATGGACTGCTGGAAAACTCTCTTTCGCAGCTCGGCTGTTTTCCCTTGGGATCCGGTGGGGAGAAAAACGGCTACCTCCGTCCCCCGAGTCGAGCCATCAGATCGCTGAGACTGAAAACTTGTCGCTAGTTAAAATCAGTACTTAATTGCTTTAAGTCTGCATTTCAATTTGTATCGCACTTTCTATAATAGCACAGAAGGTAAGACAGATTTGGTTGAACGGTCTTCTCTCCGTTTCTTTTGTGTCAGTATTTAACAATTATTCCTCGAGCCCGAAAGGGCTCTGAGTTAATAGCCCAGGCCGAAGGCGGAATGAGCTATTGATTCAGAGGCCATGAGGGCGAGCGGAATAATTGTTTTAGTAAAAGCCAGCTAGTTGATCAAAAATATCGAGAACAAAAAACTTTTAGCTACGTTAAAGCTAGACTTTAATCCTTTTTTGCCGCCAAAAAGCCCGCGCTTTTCGCTACTAGTGGGCCATAACATATAGCCTAGTAGTAGCTCAACCAATCAGAACACAGCATTGATAATAGACCACCACTAGTTGGATTTTACTAAAGCATATTAGTGCTATTCCCTTGCTATTAAAAGTGAACGATTCTGTGCACTGGCGATAGTGCCAAATAAAAATCTATGTGCGTTTGCAGGAGCGACATCTTTGCGGTAGCTTACATGTCAACGACGAACTAGAATTATAGTTAATCGCTATGATCATGCACGAAAAAAGTTTTATGCACTGTTACACTTTGACGACAAAATTATTTTGCGTTAGAAAACGAACCTGAAGCTTGAAATCCTTGATCGCCAGATTCTTGGAGGAACCCTCCTTTATTTTTCTTGTCTTCATCTCTGGCCTCGAGTAAGACATCAACTGGTGTTACTGTCTTGGTTAAAGCTTTTGTGATATCTTTTTGATATAAAAGTGCTTGCTTGCCATTCTCTTGTGTAAGAAACTCACATTCTCTTAGCTTTTCCACACCAACTGCAATATCCTTGGCTCCTTGATGATTTCCATTCCCCGACACATTGTGATAATGATGTTTAGCGTTGTAATCTGCTCTGCTTATTGAGCTTGGTGTGGTCTTCCGCAAAAGAGAAAAAGCTTGTTTGCTCGCCAAAAAATCCTCCTGAGTTTGGTTTTCTGCACACTCATCAGCTATTTCTTTATCAAAACGTTCGATATATGAAGCAGGTTTCGTCCGGTTTGGCAGGCCAGTTGTAATTAGACACTCCAAACCTAAAAACTGTTCCTCGATGTCATCGCCAAATGTATCGTTATTCACGCTATCCTGTATTTCTTCTCGTCTGAACAGTGCAGTTGCTTCTCTAGTGAGTGAATAGCGGTTTCTCTGTTGTAAGGGGCACCCAACAACGTCACCTAGACGCGACTGTGAACAACAGAAAATACATGCTTTTAAAATTCAATATTGACAATAATGAGACCATAACCCTCCGTCGAAGGTGGTCGGTGGGGTCCAGTTCAGAGGACGAACTTTTCATGAGCCGAAGCTAAGTTGAATTAAGTACATGAAAAGTTCGGCGTTTGAACGCCTATTTCAATTTGGAACGGCTCAGCCGTTCTTCTTGCCTAGCCCGGCGGGCAATTTCGGCTTTGGAGCGACTTTGGAACGGCTTCGATTCAGACGCCGAACTTTTCAAGTCCGAACGTAGTGCGTAAATTATTATAACGTATTTTGTAAGCAGTTTTACTGAAATTAGCATTTTTTCTCCTTTTGAATTTTGTTCGGCTGGAATTAAGATCAGCGTCTGAATCAATCCAGCCGATCTAAATAATTTTGGTAGGCCTTAATTCGAATTAGGTTTGGCTCATGAAAAGTTCAGCGTCTGCACTGGGCCTAAATTTTCCACCGCAAAGATTCAAAGGCTGGCGTTTCGAGCAAAGTTTGCGTAGGTCGATGGATGTTCTTCGGAAGCTTTTGTAAAATACGCTCTTTGCGAGTTATTTTTTTCTTTTCATAAAGCATTGTTACGTAAATCCATTTACCTCATCTATCAGATCTCTGTCATCTATCGTGCGTAAGAAAGAGCACAAGTCCGTCTCTTTTATTATTTCTGGGGGCAATATAGGACAGTTGCTTGCAACATGTTCGTTTGTAACCATCATTATTTGTTGCTCCTGCTCAAAATCTAAACCCATCGGTGAGAAATCACCAGGAAATTCTCCACATCTATCAGCTTTACCCTTCTCGGCTTTCTCAGCGAATTCCAAGCAAAGCTGATGCGAGCATACACTTCCGATGGTTGAGTTATAAGGCAGTGCAGCGGATTCTTCAAATTGCGAGATTCTGTTAATACCGTCCACTGCTGGTACGTCAAGTTGCTGCACTTCATTAGAGATCAGTTTGTCGGAATCTCGGTGAAACTGTGCACTAAAAACTTCATCATCCTCTGAAGCTTTGCTGTTACCATCATTGCTTAGGTGTTGAAAAGGTACTTCTTGATCGGCATAGAAGTGAAGACCTTCAGTATAAATAGAACTGTTTGTTTCTTGTTCGGTATAAAATTCAAGCTCCGATTCACAAGTGTTTTCTTCCTCGGGGTGTAAATCAACCGCAGCGACTTTCTCGGCTCGCAAAGCAGATGTTTCTCTGTTTCCCTTGTATGCTGACTTATAACCTCGCTCGGAGTCTTTAATTCCCGCAAGCTTCTTTATTTCACGAAGTTTTTCCTCTGACAACAGCTTAGCTTTTTCAACCATGGCGAAGAAAGAAACCGTCAATTTCTGAGATTTCTGTGAAATAACTGTAAAAAAACTAATAAACATTCGCGTAGGGCACTAAATCCCCTAATCTGGAACTTAAAAAGATCTTTTTCATTTATGTACTCCTCTCAACATAAACTAGATCGCTATACTTTTTTTCAAATAAAATTTATGGGCTTAACTGCAGAATATCCGGCCATTTCGAAGCTATACCCCTATAACAGTGGCTACGCGGCTACGTGGCTACGTAGAATACCCGGCCACTTCGAAGCTATTACCCCTCGTGTAGCCACGTAGCCGCATATCCCAGGGGTTTGGGTTTGGGTTACGGTTAGGGTTAGGATTAGGGTTAGGGTTGGGGTTAGGATTAGGGTTAGGTCAATTTATGAACACATCTAATTTACGACGAATTTCTTTTCAAATAATGACCCATCCTATTTTAGCAGGTAACGAACCACGCCAAGGCCACTTAGCGTAAAGAGTAACTTTGCATGATTTTCTCTCTACCTAATTAAGTTATTCGTGGTAAGTCTTAAAAAAAACGTTAAAAACACGAGATGATGTGAACATTTTAAGAAGCAATCACTCGTATCCTTGGCGCGATGGGCAACCTAAATACAGAAATAGAAATATAGAACGTTTTTCAGCTGGTACAAAAACATCTGCGCAAAGTCGAAACATGGTTACTCGGTTAAATAATTATAAGACTCTTACTTCGGGTTAGTTCAGACTTGACTCCAATTGCTGGCCATACGACGGGACCTAATGAATTGTAGAAATAGACACTTCTGTTGTGGGTCTTATTTATTATTGGGCCACAAGTCCTGCTTGTTCGATCGGTGTGGGCTCTAAACCTGTATGCGCGCGTTCAAGGGGATGCAATAAGTGCGTCACAATCAGAATCAGATTTAACCTACATTTGACAAATCATAGACTGAAGATGATGTGGACTGTGGAAATATACAAATATCAATAAAATTATGATCGTCGCAGTGGTAATTACAATTTAAGCAATTGCAAATTAACCCGAAAACATTTCGGAACTTAAGCGGAATTCGGACCCATGGCCACTATGCTAGGTCCATACATTGGGAGCAGACAGAATTTGTTGAGTTTTTCTTAACCCGTGAAAGGAATGAAACATAGAATGAAGATGATGTGAACTGCGGGAAAATCAGGTAAACAAGGGACCGCTCATGCAAAAACTACGAAACAGTTGGTTATACTTGCGTAAAGTACCAGACAAAACTGCTGGTTTTACATGTAAAAAACCCGTAGAGCAATTAGCTTTTGGTTCATGTTTCATTGCACCACACAACGCGTGGTTCTTTAGGGTTCACAGCAGGCCTGGGTTCACAGTAGCTGAAACTAAGCGTTTCCCCATTTTGGCAGTATATAATCAGATAAAAGACCGTTTGAGACCTACAAGTTAATAGCAAACGTATGTGAGCGAATGTCACTTGTTATAACACGCCATGCCTGTGTAGAAAATTTGAAATATTTCTGATGCTAAAGAAAATTGTACTCACCCTTGTTGGCAAACTCACTTTCGAAGCGTCCGTGAGGTTTCCAATCAAAATATAGGCAGCGTTTCGTTCCCCCATCATTGTTCTCGGTGACATCTTTGATGCTCCTCTGTAAACACGGCCGTTTAGATGGTGGCGACGAAAGAATTAGACACTCAGAAGAGAGCTCTATTAAATTTTCTCCCAAATTCATGAGGTCAGCAGTTGACCGCGATGGATAGTCGTTAGCCAGTCGGGTTTGTCCTGTTTGCGGGCGTTCTGCAGATGGGAACTGTGGCTGCACTGATGTTAAGTTCTGGTCCTTTCCCTCCCAGCTTCTTACCTCAGCAGGTTGGAAGTTCGATTCTTCGCAAACGGGAACTGTGAAATCACACTCATCGTTTACGTATTTTTCAGCACTTGGATATGGTGTCCCCTCTTCTACCTGCTGGTTAGTACTTTTAAAAGTAATGGACCCTTCGTCCGGCTTCAGAAAGCTGATAGCCTCTGCTACTGATCTGTCATCTAGTGAATACAGGAAGAAATATCTGCTGTTAATTCATATTATCTCGGTCTTTACGGTTTCCCGACTTCCAGTCGTTTGTGTTATCTGGATAATTAGCTAAAAGGCACCGATATAATGGGTATATTACAATCGTTTATCACGTTATGACGTCACAATGAGAAGAAGCAGTACTCAACATGGTGGCGGCCAGTCGGCACATGTATTGCAGCTTTGGCAAATCGGAGCGCCTGAAAGAACGGGCAAAAAAACCCGACCTTTATCATTCCGGCAGTAATTATTCTCAATGATTTTCTATAACAAAATTTCTGTTAGAAGTATGTTCATTCATGCATATGCAGACCATCCATACATTCCTTCCGCCAATATATGCTTAAGATCGAAAGCTCCACGATTTTATGTATTAGTTATGCATCAGTCAATTCCACCTGCGCCCAGCGCCCCCCCGGGCATTAGCATTTTTTTTGCCTTGGATGGCAAATTCCCGAGGGTGGGGACTCTTGAACTGTCAAACCCCCCGGGGTGGGGACGAAAAAAGAGGGCAAATGCCCCGTCCTCCGTCAACACTGCAACATTTTTCATTGCTCGCACAGTCAAATAGTGCCATTTTAAGCATTTTAATATGCGATTTTTTGTTTATTGACATCAAAATTAACAGACGGCTGTAAAGTTATATGTTATGAATAGTTTTATAAATATGGAGGGATGTTCTTCAAATAATATCAACAGAAATTTGATTCAATAACCAAAAAACGTTGAGTCACATCGAAAGCTCCAATTTCGCTACGTAATTCTGGCTTGATAAGCAATGAAGAAATGCATACATACATGTAAAATCGAGAACATGCCTTTACAACCCTTTACAATTTATTCCTGTCCTTGACAGATGAGCCAATCTGCTTTTTCGCCAGTAAAACTTTCTGTGTAGTTATATTCTGATAAAAAACCGCGTGCGTGTCAAAAGCTCGGGAATGGCCCGGGGGTTAGCAAATGCCCGGCCCCCGGGCAGTGCAAAATTTGCAAATGCCCCACCCCCGGGACTGACAAGGCAGGCAAATGCCCCGCAGTTGCCCGGGGGGGAGCTGGGCGCACGTGGAATTGACTGATGTATTATGTTTGTATTGTTCTTTATCTTCGAAGAAAATAAAAGTAAACTAATAATGCATCAGTCAATTCCAGCTGCACCCAGCTTTGCCCCGGGCCACTGCGGGGCATTTGCCCGCCCTGTCAGTCTCAGGGGTGGGGCATTTGCAAATTGTGCGCTGCCCGGGCGCCGGGCATTTGCCAACCCCGGGGCAAAACCCGAGCTTTTGACACGCAGGCGGTTTCCTATCAGAATGTAACTATACAGAGGATTTTACCAGAAAAACAAACAGATTGGTTCATTTGTTAAGGACGGGGAAAAATTGAAGAGGTTTGTAAAGGCATGTTCTCGATTTTATGCATGCATTTCTTCATTGCTTATCAAGCCAGAATTACATGGCGAAATCAGGAGCTATCGACGGGAATCAACGTTTTTTTGGTTATTGAATCAAATTTCTGTTGATATTATATGAAGAACATTCTTTCATATTTAAAGAACTATTCATAACAGTTAACTTTACAGCGCACTATTAAGTCTTAATTAGAACAGCACTATTACAAAGTAAGACGTTGACTGAAAAAAAAAATCGCAAATGGCACTACACGACTGTGCGATCAATGAAAAATGTTGCAGTGTTGACGGAGGACGGGGCATTTGCCCTCTTTTTGTCGTCCCGGATTTGACAGCTAAAGAGTCCCCAACCCCGGGAACTTGCCATCCAAGGCAAAAAAAAGTGCTAATGTCCGGGTGTCAGCCGAGCGGGGGGAGGGGGTCCAGCTTCGTGTAATTAAGATACCAAAGATTGAGAATGCTTGAATAGATAGACGATAATGGTGTTTTTTAAAACTATTCAGAGAATTCCCATGGCTTAGGGCTTATGCCCCTTCCCTGAATTTCCTCTTCCAGGGAAAGAGGAGATTCTTAATAGCCTGGCCGGAGGTCGGCCGGAGGACGGCCGGAGTAGCCTGCGTAGCTGGCGTAATTGTTTTTGCGCGTGTGAAAGGTTTGGCGGCGAAGCCGCCATTCTCTGTACGGCTTCGGCGGCTTCGAAGTTCTGTCTAAAGTTTGCTCGAGATAAATAACAATCCCGCCGGCTACGCAGTAGCAGAGACTTTGAAATATGAGATGAGACTAGGAGACTGAAAAACAACTCCTTGCGGTTACCTTCATAAAATGAACCTTCATCCATGTTATACAAGCAGTGTTCAACGTTTTACCGATGAACCTTTCCGCTGTAAATGAAAAGAAAAAGCCAGTACAATTTTTTTAAAAAAATCGTTTTTTATGCGTGCGAGCTTCGTAAGTTACGAACTTACGGCTTTACAGTTAAGCTTACCTGAGAAAGTATCTGGCGCTTCTTGAATTTCCTGCTCTCCTCAAAGCTTACACGATCGGTTAAGTTCGAAGCTATCTTGACAGCCCAAAAGAAACCCCAGGACGCCTGTTTTTCCACATAATAACCTAACTTCTAGCAACTGACCATGAGTGCGTGCGACTTCCTATGATGATGATTTATGATGATGATTATGATGATGAAAGTTTTTTTAACAAAAACATTGCAAAAATGGCGGGAAATTCAACGCCGGCTGCCAAGTGACGTCAACCTTATAAACCTCCAATATTGCTCTAATATTTTGCCTAGTTTGACTGGTTTCCAGCTGGCTGACCGGCTCGTTGTTTTGACTTTTGAGTTTTCGAGCGACCGAAGCGAAACCAAAACAGACACGTGCGGCGTTGCTGTGGTACCCTAATTGTTTTATAAACTAATAGCTTTGAATGATTTTTTCACGTTAATTAAAAATTCTTTCTCAGTAATGGCGCTCAAAAAAAGTTCATGACTCCTCGACTCCATCGAAACTTATTATAGCCAACTTCCCTGTGCTTCAAACTTTCGAGATTCAAGCACATTTTATTCAAGGGCCTTTGATATCATTGATTCTGATATATTTCTTCGCAAAAAAAAGGGCCAGATCATGAGCTCCATAGTACCTTGCCCTCCGCCCCCCTCCTCCCTGGTAAAACCTGTGTATTGGGAAAAATTAAGTCACAACAGTTGACTTCTCTAAATTACAATAGACAACCTTGACCACTGTTATTTAGAGAAGTCAGTGCTGTGGTTTAATTTTCTCTTTGTCTCATTCTTTGTTTGTTTGCTGTTTTTTTAACTTCCTTTTAAAGTATGGTATTATGAAAAAATGAGCTTAAAAGGAAAAAACAAATACCAAGGATGATATTCTTTTACTCAATGTCCAGAATTTTCGTCGATTTCGTGTCGAATGAGTGCTCAAAGACCCATAACACGTTTCCAATAAGGAGAAGGCTATGTATTCCATTTGGGAAAAAAAGACTTCATTGACTGAATGTACAAAGAAACATTTTTATTAGACACGTGGTGTAGTTAACTCATTTTGAAGGTTCTAATATTAAAACTAATCTTGTGACGTTTTTTTCCTATTCTCATGTTAGCTAGCCTGCGAACGCAAATGTATTTCCGGTCGTAGCTTCTCTTCACACCCGAGAAAAGCGGCGACAGGAAAGACGTGTTCGTTCGCAGGCTACATTTTAGCAAACCTCCGTATAATTTTTCTTGATTTTAGACTTTGGCCATTTGTTAGAATTAGGGGTTGTCCACACTTAGTGACCAGGAACCAGTGCCTGGTAACCGGCACAAAATGATGATTTGTTCACACGAACAAAGGAATCCGAGCTTATGTAAAAATAAGATAATGTAAAGTTATCAACGCCGCATAACTTCATCAATAACACAATCACACAAACACGACAATAATTTATTACTTATATAGCCGTATGTACGATGTGATCAAAATTGCCTTGCATGGCAAAAAAGAAAGAGAAGGTGTCTGATCAGATCTGGCGGCTTCTGTCCAGTTCTTCTGTATCTAATTATCTTTAAAATGTGAGGAAAGCGTTCCTACGACGCACGCGCGCTTTTATGCCTTAATATTCTAAGTAAGGGCCTAAGCTTTGATGAACGTGGAAAAGATCAAATTGGTTTAAAACAACTTTTCTTTTAAAAAAGGACTTCTAGTGATCGCAAAACCTGCTCAAGTCTTTTCAGTGAAATTAAGAAAAGATGAATTACAACACAAATTTCCACAAGGTAGCAGAAATGGGCTTGGCTTATTCAAGGTTATTCCAATTACATTGTATGAGGCAGATGTAACACGTTACATAAAAGTTTTTTAAAATGCTTGAAACTTGCTACCCCCGCACCCTGCTGCCATGCAGCAAAGAATTTCTTTCGCTTGCTGGATTTTAGCGCCGTACTCTCAGGCAGGGTGCTTGCAGCAACTGTGAAATGAAAGCCTTCTACGCCTTAACTCATATAACATAAAATCTCAATAGAATACGTGCCTGAAGTCCAATTATGTTGTTTGCAAGGCAAAATTAAGCAGAATCGAGTCACTTTAAGTTGCAAACACTTTTCAGGCGATAGTTCTGGGTTTTGCCTGATATTTCAATGTCACATAGTGGCCTGTCATCACTCTACAATGCCTTAGAGCACATGCAAAGAATATGAGGATGATTATACCTAGAAGAGTGCTTTTTTTTTACCAAATCAGCTTGCCGAAAAAGAACATGCATGTATGAGAGAGTCGTGAGAGACATTTCACTGATCTTTAACGAATTTAAAGATGCTCCTTTGTGATTTCTGTGCAATTATTATACGATATTAAAAAGATGGCTATTGTCTCACATTTGTCATTGTTTGGCAATACGAAGCTACAGCTATGTTCTCGCTAGTAAAATGTCGTTTTATCAACTACCTACACGCAAGCTAGTTATCACAGTTATTCATGTACTTATCATTGTTCCATATACCATTATATAGGAGCTGATTACTGCTGGTAATACCGGGATGGTTTCTGTTGGTTTCCAGCCTTGTGACTTCTGTTTTGGTGATGATAATGTCTAGAGTGTGTTGAACTTACTGAAGACAATAAAAGCATCAGACAGTAATTAAACAAACAGCTTATTCGGGAGTGCACCGATCTCAATAGTATGCCTACATGCAATATAATTATTAATCATTCTATAAGCCAAGGTAAATCCCAGATGACTGGAAATCTGCTAGGGTAACACGGTAGTTTCGAAAACGAAGCACTCGAAAACGAAGACCGAAGCACGAAGCACCCAAAACTCGAAAACGAGTAGTTTCGAAAACGAAGCACTCGAAAACGAAGACCGAAGCACGAAGCACCCAAAACTCGAAAACGAAGCACCCAAAACTCGAAAACGAAGCACCCAAATCTCGAAAACGAAGCACCCTAGATCGAAAACGAAGCACCCTAAATCTCGAAAACGAAGCACCCTAAACCTTCGAAAACAAAGCACCCAAAACTCGAAAACGAAGCACCCTAGATCGAAAACGAAGCACCCTATCTCGAAAACGAAGCACCCTAGATCGAAAACGAAGACCCCAAAATCTCGAAAACGAAGCACTCAAATCTCGAAAACGAAGTACCCAAAACTCGAAACCACAGTAGGCTGTACGTCTTGCATGACGCAATCCGAATCAGGTGGAGGCAGCGCATGCGTCCGCACCTCCAAAGGTCCACAAAATCCACCCCAAGGTTTTATAAGAGCCTGCCAACTGTTTAACTGAACGTTTCTAGATGGGATATAGTGTATTAATTTTATTATTGGTCTCGCTATACTTGATACATCTTACCTTAATATGCGTTTTTTCGGTACACATGCATGTTTATGTAGACTTGAAAAACTGTCCGTCAGCAGATTTTGGCGTATTCAAGTACGCGTGAGCAGTAACACAAAAGGTCTGAAACGAGGCTGGAAACGGAGTGTGAGGCTCGCGCGTATTACTCATACGCCACGCTTTACCGACTTCTTTACTGATTTTGAGAAAAAAACCGACTGTTTTGCAGTCTACCATATCGGATATTTTTGACACTGCGTGATCAGATCAGATCAGATCCAGGCAGAATTTTTTCTAGGGTAATAGCCTGGGATCAGGCTCTATGGTGGGGAACAGGAGAATTTTGAAATAAAAGGAGCGAATAAAAAAAGGAGAGTTAAGCTACTGAGAAGGAGGTCGGTGGGGCGAAGCCTGAAGATATGCTTTTTATGCCACCGATCCACCCTTAACTACACTAATTTGCAAATGGCCTTTAACGAGGAATGGAATAGAAAACGCTCATCATTTTGTACGGGGATACTTGCAATACAGTAATACGGCAATACAGTAATATTCTAGAAATAGTTTGGGCGTTCTCAGTTTTCTGATCACGTCCAAAACATAGCCTCCCACCGGGCCTCCCACGCAGCGGCGGAAATGCATTTACAACTTGAGTAGATTTCAACTGCATTCGATTCGTTATCCAATACTCGTTATCGCGCTTGATTTCTGCTGTATTTACATTGGTCTCGTGTTTATAAAGGACAGACCGGTGTCGAGTTTTTGGGTGCTTCGTTTTCGAGTTTTGGGTGCTTCGTTTTCGAGTTTTGGGTGCTTCGTTTTCGATCTAGGGTGCTTCGTTTTCGAGATTTAGGGTGCTTCGTTTTCGATCTAGGGTGCTTCGTTTTCGAGATTTGGGTGCTTCGTTTTCGAGTTTAGGGTGCTTCGTGCTTCGGTCTTCGTTTTCGAGTGCTTCGTTTTCGAAACTACCAGGGTAACACCCCTTTTCAAGCAAGGTGATCGAGTCGCCGTAAACAATTACCGTCCGATCTCGGTTATCCTATGTTCAGTATTTTTAACAACTGTGTTATTTTTTGTAATAATTAAATTTGATTATTTTCAATAATCAATTTACTTTTGGGCTAGCTCTTCAGAGCTCTGGGCTAGTAAACTAAAGTAGTAGCTTGCACTTTGGGCAAGCTGCTACATGAGTCATTTTTATCTTACCCTGAAAACCAGTTTGAAATTTTTCAAACTTAGAAAAAAACTGAATCACAACAAATCAATTCTTCTATGCTAAGCCACGTTAAATGGACAGAGGATTACCACTTTTTTTTGCAACAACCAAAGTCAAATAGCAAATTATTAAGTGATGAACAATATTAATTTTGAGTCTACAGCCTGTAGCTGGAACTCACCTGAATAATTCCCAGAGGAAGAAGTTCCTTCCAAAGAACTTTGGTACTTTCCTGGATATTTCTTCCCAGCACCTCCCTGATGATGTCCCTTTGGTCCAGAGTAAGGATAAGGAGTATATCGGTGACTTTGTTTTTTCATCCCTTGGGGTCCCTGTGGATGGTGTTGTTGGTATTCATTCTGCAGAAATAAATAAAAAGCAATTCAAGCGAAATAAACAGCACCACATACCCCTTTATAGCCAAAGTTAGAGTTGTGTCAGAAATCATTAGAGAGATTTTAGTTTATGGCAAATAGCAAACAACTGAACAGATTCAAGTTGACTTGATAGTAGCATAAAATTCTAGCCATAGAATGATTGTGGCAAAAGTAATCATGCAAGAATAAGATTTTTTTTCTGTTGGTATAACTAACTTTATATTCGCTAAATTCAGTCACTTAATAGTTTTTTATTCCATCAGACTTACTGCTATTAATTAGAAATCAACCCTAGCATTTTTCACTTTCCCTTTTTTGCAATTTAATCATTTTTTATTTCATTTTTGCCTTACAATAATAACATTAAATTTTTACATACTCTACCAACATTACAAGTTTTAAAGATAAAACACAAATAACTCACACACGCACGCACAGAACACACCAAACACAACAACAGTATCAATACTACTAAGCCTTAACAGCTATTTATCGCAAATTGCGTATACCACCTGTCAAGAGTGCTTGCAATTTCCATAAATGAAAAGACATTTTATTCTTTGATTTGGCAATGACAGTTTCTAATATTGATAAACGTTACCGAGTCTTGCCAAGAAAACCCGTAAACAAGGGTTTGTTTTTGTGTATCTACAAGAATATATATACTGCTTCCCACCAAGCAAAATATGATTAATGAATAAATTTTCTTTATATACCGTTTTACCAATTAATATATCTTTAGCTGGGAGGGGGCTAAAAACCCCCCCCCCCCCCCGATTGCTACACCATTTTGGCCCAAAATCTCTGAGTAATCTGGAAAGAGACAAAAAGGTGTTCAAGGGATTCATCTGCCCCATCGCACAGAGAACATCGTGGTGATGAAGAAATACCAATTTTGTTTAAAAAAATCACTGGTGGCCAGATATCTGTGTAATAATTTATATTGAACTTTGCACAACCTGGTATGGTAAGCTGTAAATTTATTTCCAGTTGAAATCATTATTTTCAAAATATTCAACGTATTCTTTTGCGCAGTTGGTTGACCAATTTCTCCATCTCTATTCTTTATAGATGCCTTTTGAGACAGCATTACTTAATAAAACTTCTTTACCAGATTTAAAAAAAACTGAGTCCGCTCGTGCAGATCGAAAGAAACAACGCTATCATTTCCATAACTCTTCAGCTCATGAGGCCAGTCCTTCAGGAGTGTGTTGATCACTGTAAAAAGTTGAAATGCGTCCAGTGGGGATAAATTAAACTCCCTTAGCTTACTCATTATGATTTCATTAATTTCAGCAATAAGATCTCCTATTCTTATAATTCCTTTCTCTATTAGTCCTTTGTTGAAAACGGTTTTACCACCATTTAAGATATAACAATTATTCCACAGAATGATCTCTGAAATATCCACTGCATTAATATTGCCTAAACAAAAATTGTTTGCTACGGGCATTGCAAAACATCCATTAAACATTCCTCATAAAAGCCCAGAAGCTTGATAGGTAGCTTTTTCGCACTGAAATTGCAGCCAAGGATAAATTTGCCACCTACTGGTTTTAGGTAATGAAGAAGAAGAATTTTCCAGCTTCTAAGGTCATCACTCACAAGCTTTTTACAGCATATTATTCTTTGAGTTTTAAAAATAGAATCCAAGTGTGGAGCTTTCAATCCACCATCTTCAATGTCCCCAACAAGCACACGACGTTCCACTTTGTCTTTACTTTTCCAAATAAAGTCAAAATATAATTTTGTTTACTTCATTTACAAATTCCTTATCCTGTTAGAAACTTTGGCTTCAACAATAAGGTCAGATGTAATGATATTCTTTGCTGATGATTTAACAGGTGTTTTGAAGGAAGACAAATCTCTAATACAGTTCCTCGAACTTGTGCTGCTGTTTGATAAATGTTCTGGTCTCATTATAAACTATGATAAGTTGGAAATACTGTTGCTTGGAAACTCTTTTCCCGCGCCCCCTAACCTCACTCATACTCCGTTTAAAGACCTCACAATAAAGAATTCTGTAAAGATGGACTGATTTTAGGGGTATATTTCACGTATGATCGCCGTCTCAGATGCAAACTTAATTTTGATGAAATTACCAGTAATTCAACGCAAAGAAAGCACTGAAGCACACGTATCAACTCCGTGGTATGGCCACTACCGTACACGTGCACACAACCATGTCACCCGGGCAGTGGCAGCCATGGACAGCTGTTTCACCCTTCTCAGGGGCTCATCAGCCTGGCATAGTCAGCACAGTCTCACTTGCAATCACAAACGCTGCCTTTCTACTGCCAAGGCAAATGCATAAGTACCTCTTTAAGCCTAGTAAATTCCCCAACAACATTCCAAAAAAAATTGCAAAATTGAACTGTTCACCCACCATTACCTGGAGATTTATTGGATTCAAAAGCGTTGAGGTTCTTCACACATTCTTCAATTTTTAACTTCCCTTCACACACTTGAGAATCTTTAACAGAAAGTCTAGGCATGAGCGGATTTTCCAAAATAGTATTCGTCAAATTTTCAGTAGGTTTTAGATCGTCCTTCTTAAACAGACCAGAATAAAAGCCTTCGATAACCCCAAAATTTCATGAGGATCAGTGACTAACAATTTTTCTCTTTATTAAAAACCAAGTTATGAACTGAACTTTTAGCCTTCCAATGAGATTCTAGATTGAGGAAATATTTGTTACTTTTCTCTCCCTTTTCACACCAAGTTGCCTTCGAGCGAATAATTTGCTCCCTTTGATAATATTGCAAGAATAAGATGCAAGAAGAGCAAGTCACAACAAGTCAACTATATTTAGGCAGGATAGCCCTATCAGCCATTGGCTGGTATCAAAAGGGGCCCTACACCTCAACAACACCCTAAAATGACTGAACCATCAAACCAGAGTGTGCAGACATAGCATGTAAAGAAAAACATGTCCGATAGTGCTGTACTAGTGAATTTGCAACTGGTCTAATAAGTCTTGTTCTTATCTTTTTGGGGGAAATTTAAATTTCTTCAACAACCATGTGGATTAAAAGCCGTTTTTTTAAGGCTGATCTGATTACTATTATAATGAATTGATAAAGCAATTAATAAATTAACTTACGGTGTAATCAATTACTAATTAACTAATTCTTTTTTGAGGGGGGCGGGGGGAGGTTAGTTAAATTGAATCCCAGTTCCTATTAACCCTGTGATTTACAAGGTTCTGTGAAAGACACATATTTCTAGTTATTATGTTTGAGTCTCTCACACTACAGGTTTTTGCTGCTACAGCCATTGCTCTTAGCCTTAGCCTTCAGTCAGTTTTACAGCTTGCCCAAGCTGTAGATAGCATGTACTACAGCTGTAGCCTCTAGCCTGGATGGGTGACCTGCCACAAATATCCTGTCAAAAGACTCCTATCTCTTTTTTCCCTCTTTCTTTTCCTGCCCTATCAAGGCTGTGCTCTAGCAGAGCTCGGTCGCCTAACTTTTGTTCTCGGGTGACTAGAAAATCTTTGCTTTTTCATAGAAATCATATGCTGGGCACACTGGATTTCACAAGTTCAGAGAACTGGGCTCCCCTCAATTTTTCTTGGAGCACAGCCTTGCCTATTTTATTCTTAAATACATATAACAAAGTATATTTAGCATTATTTCAGCCACAGGATGGAAAATAAATTAATAGTAAGTTTGCATGCAAATAACAAAGGTATGAAACTGAAACCAGTCCATAATAATGGTAAAAATTTTAATACTATTAATGATAATGATAATAAGTGATAATGTTAATAATCATAATAACAATAATAATAATGACAAAGTACTTACTGTGTACTGTTGAGAATATCCAAGTCCCCCACTGGACCTCAGTTCTTGTTTTTGGAGCTGCGGCGGCTGCTGCTGTTGCTGTTGTGGTGGTGGTGGTGGCATCTGCTGGCTCTGATGTCCTCCTTCATATGATGGTTGTCGACCTTGTGTCTGTCCACTACTTTGCTGCTGTTGGTACTGATGGGTTGCAATTGTTGGTTGCCTGTGGAGCTGCTCCTGTTGTACTTGGTGTCCATGTTGCATAGAATACTTCCCAGGCTGAGGAGGTTGCTGCTGCTGTTGAGGATGGTAAGCATGCTGTCCACTCATAGGCACTTGTTGAGGTTGGTAAGCTGTAGCCTGCTTTGCTTGGTATCCCTGAGGTTGAGAATGTACCTGATATGATTGCTGTGCTTGCAGCTGATGAACATTTGAACTATATGATTGCAGGTGTGACAGATCCTGGTTATGCTGTGCCGAGTAACCTTGTTGGTGTCCTTGGTTTTGCTGTGCTGTACCAGGTTGTAGGGTTTGTCCATGGGTTCCTGTTGGAAAAGCTTGCTTCTGATTACCATGTGATGCAAATTGTTGGTAATTTGACTGCTGTTGCTGCTGAGTGTGATAAGAGAACTGCTGCTGATGTTGCTGCTGTAATAAATATTGTTGATTTAGAAAACATAGTTTGACTATAGGACTAGAAAACTAGAAATAAAAATTCTGACTTCAGAAAAGCAAGCAACTAAATCTTCAACTTTTCTTTGGATATGGAAGTTTATTGCCCAACAGATCAAAACTGAAAAAGGTTCAAGAAGACATTCAATCCTACTAATAATACAGTACATGTAAAACTCATTACAGGTTAAGCTACAATGCTTTAAACAGTAATAACTGTAACTGTTTGTCTAGACAGAGACCACTGATTAACTTAGAATGGCAATTGTTATCATTGATAGTTTAATTCCAAACCAGACATACATGTATGTGATTACTATCAAAGTATGACTTGTGACATCACTTTTTACCCCAAGCATAGCTACTTCTCATTAACATCTCACCAATGTGTTTATGTAACATACCTTAAATTATTTGAATCTGCCACTTTCTCATAAGCTACAGTGCAGTGGGTTGAAAAGTTAGCATCATACTTCCTCGAAACCATCCCCATAAACTCATTCACAGTGAAACCTGTACTAAGTGGATCCCATATCAAGCAGACATAGTACATGTATATAAAAGGAATCAAGCACCAGTGAGTTCAGTCCTAAACTTTGATTCCCTTTCAATTAAACAAACTGGCAATTTAAATGCCAAAAAAGTTCTCAGGCTACAGGCTTCACTGTAAATTGTATTCAACCAGAATGTATTATAATCATAAAATTAATAGTGGATTTAGTGTAGTACCACATACCTGCTGGGGGGTGGGCGGTAGCCCTCCGTGTTGTAGAGGTGACTGCCTTGGAAATGGCAACTGTGAATCTATTGCTACAACAGTAGGGGTATGAGGTGGGCCATGTTGCTTCCCTGGAAAATGGCTGTCAGGTTGCTGCAGCATTTTAAGCACAGAAAGGAAGTTAGCTGACTTAATTCGTATAACCAGAAATGGTTCCTGACCTGACAGGCTTGATCAATAGGAAAGTTTTAACTTACCTGAGCCCCAGCAATAAATGGCTTCTGTCCTTGACCATGCTGAAATCCAGCAAATCTTTCCTGTGCTGCTGGGTAAACCTGGGAGGACTGTGTTGGATAGGGAATGTGGGATGGTGGTTGAAGATTTTGAATTTTGTGAGAATGATTGATCTGTGCCTGAATAAAACTTGACAGGGGATGAGGAGGACTTCCTTGTCTTCTGATCACTCCTGATACAATAAACCACATGGATTAAAACAACATTCAGCAATATAAAAACTTGGTATTCTCTATACCCTACCTACATAGCACAACATTCTAGAACTTCAGAAGCCACTTCAACCAGTTTATCAATTTTTTTTTTTATAATACTTTCAAGTGGTTAGAGAAAAGGCATTCTCAGAAATTCTACACAACTATTCGACTGCAGCAAATTAATTTATTTTAGTGCTCCCAGCTGCTAGGCATGTACATGTATAAACCAAAGCGCATGTTTATTGCTGGTTTGCACGTGACATCATGGCAGCCATGTTGATGGTCAAGAATAAAAACATTATTCTAACCTCTGGGAAGACTGGGAACTAAACTCCATTTTCTTGAAAATAATATACACTTAATGTCAGATCCCGAGGGAAACAGTTAGTTTTGTTTTCCCAAGTCCTGTCGTTTTCATCAGGACTTGAGGGAAAACAAAACTAGCTGGTTTCTCGAGGGACCTGACTTTAAGTGTTTTGTTAAATTTCTAGACTTTCAACAGCAACAAAAGAATACGCTTTATTGGAGCCAATCAAAACAGTTGACTTGGTACTTATAAGAACACAAACCACTGAGTAGATGATTTACAAAGTACTTTCCTTATATTATTTGCATCTTTTTCCTCCACTAGCTGCTCTTTCTCTTCTGGGATAACTTTGAAAATTGTTGCTTTTTAGCTTGAGGTTTCATTTTTGTGTTGTAGTGTTCATTCACCAAAAAGAAAACTGGCAGTGTTTTTCCCGCCTTCTGTCACGCCACTTTCCACCATGCCTTGATTATGTGCTGTAATGTATCCCGAGCGGGTACATTGCTTAATGTATCACGATTGGGATACATTTGATTTTAGTAAGGGCCATGTGAACAAGAATCAGGCAATGGCTGTCCCTTCTCAGTTGAGTGAAAGTCTAGGAATATAACAATTTTTTTATTGTATTAACCACCAACATGGCCGCCACGTCACGTGATTGCAAAGCAAGAATAAGTGTATTGTTTGGTTCTTTCGTGATTACCTGAGTTTGAAGTATTTTCCACAAGAGCTGATTGTTGCTGTACACTTGATGTCAGTGCAGCTTGTCCTGTAGACAAACCCTGAACACCTAAAGAACTTGCTACATGAACAGAAGAGGCGGCAGCCCTCACTGCTTGTAGTTCCTGTTGTTTTCTAATTTCATCTTCATAATTTAAAGCTTTCTTGAATTGCGAAAAGAGATCGTGTTTCTTCTGCTTCAGTTCTTCTAGTTTAGCTTCTAACTTGGCGATCTCCTTTTTCACATCTTCAACTGTTTCTTTTTTCTTCTCCTGTTCCCTTTTTCGCTGTTTCTCCTCTTCTTCTTTCGCTTTGCTTTCGGCAAGAGCTTGTTTTCCTTTCTCCCGCTGTCGCCTTATGTAGGCATAGACCGCCCTCAACTGATCTTTTGTAGGTCGAGTTCTTTCGATTAAAACAGGCATTCTCTCTTCTTACACTAAAAGGCGTCTTTTGAACTATGAATGCCAATTTTGAAGGTTGATGCTTGTACAAACACCCATTTTGCGCCGGTTGACAAGTCTGGGGAAGTACATCATTAGAGACACTATGTGATGCATTACAATAGGTGATAAATGTTTATGGTGATAGCCGCTGAGCACACCTTGTGAAGTGGAAGAGACTGTTGAAGAGGATAACTGGGAAACTTAGTCAACGAAAATCTTCAAAATGTTTGGAAGAAAAAAGAAACCCTCTCAGGAAAAAGAAGGACGAAAGAAAAACGATCTTTCCAATTTGGTACTATACCTTTCTCTTATTGAGTGACAAAATAATGCGATCAATTTATGTAAATATCGCACTGAATTTTGAATATATAATTTATAACCTTGACACAAGCTTAAATTTGTTCCTTGTTTAACTTGTAAATGAAAATTAGATGAAGCTCATGAAACAAATTTTGAAAAATTTATCCTTGTTTGATCTTGTATAACTGCATACGAAGATGTGGTTTTAAATTCATGTCATTTGTTTGTTTGGTATAAGAATGTTTTAATATTATTATCTGACATTTGTTGTAACTTCAGCTTGGGCTTGATATCAGTCCAGAAGACATGGCTGATTTGGGTATTGGTGGTATAGGAATTGATGGTGATGATGACGATGATGAGGATGATGAAAGCCTGGAAGCTGAGCTGGCAGCCCTGCAAGGAGAATCACAACCAAGAGCAAAAAAGAAACGTATGTTTGGGCCCAGGAATTGTAAAAAATTGACTGCGACATATATATACCAGTTTATAAATGACAGTGTTTAAAGCTAAAAAGCTTATGGGGTTGTTTCCTTTTCAGGGCATTGCCAAGTCTCTAGCCTGGGACTAGGCTCCATAGTCAGGGAAAAGGCCAAAAACAGGGTGAAAACAAAAAACAAAAAAAATGGGCGGGCAAAGCAAGCCGAGGAGTGGACTGGAGAGGGGGGAAGGGCGACAGAGCCTGGAAACATGCCTCTGGTGCTGCCATCCCATAAAAGCAGCTCGATCTGATTGGTCAAATGTCTAATGTTGACAGATTTGCGATACTGTCAACAGTATTCGGGAAAGTGCGTTTTCAAACAGTAAACATGAATTTTGAGCAACCAATACCAATTTCTTTGTGAGACTTTTTGCATATCCCTTGGCTCCAAGAAGAGCAAAAAATATGTGGTCTGTTGCAAAAAGAAAAAGAAGCTTATCATATATTGAGGTTGTTTTATACTCTCCTGTGATAAACTACAGTCACATTTACAAGGCGATTGAGTTATAAACCAACATTCAAAAGGCACAGCATTATAATCATGTTCCCACCAAAGGCATGCTAAACACCAAAAAATAGTGGATACATGTAAAGAATGCATGTTACGTAAAGCCAAACCTTGTGCTCTGAGATTGCATAAACTACAACTGTGCAAAGATAACAGCGGTTATGGAAAATGATTACTTTTACATGATTCTGAGCAGACGTATCTTATAAAACGGACAGCAAATTCAACAGAAATGTGAATAGTCTGTCGTATAAGATGCTTAACTTACACATTTTTCCTCCGCTAAGATAAACTGTACTCATCCATATTGTCTGGTACATAATAACTTGCAATCAGGTGGTCCTTCTTCCCTTTTGTTTGGAAGACGAAAGGAAAAGCACACCCGATACATTTACTCAACGAGTCATCTGCCGGTAGTCCAGAGTCTGGACTTTTGTCCAATTGGTCGAAAAATGAAAGAACCTTTGGAGCCCCACGCTGATTTTTTGCAAGCAGCATATCTAATTTCCAGTGCAATTAGTCTGTCTCTTCATGACAGAAATCATGAGATGATCAAAGAATTCATTTAGCAGCAAGCTTTAGGGATATCTTTGGGGATCTATTTGGCTTTTCATCACCAGTCAAACACGGCGCATTTTCCTCTGAAATGTCTTTATTGCAATCTATTTTATGTGGGCACATTAAAATATTTTTTCACAAAAGTGACTTATACACTCATGCTGCATTTTGCAGCAATAAAAGTGAAGAAACATCTGTGATGAGAACTTGATGTGTTGACATTTCAATGTCAGGTTAATTGCTGGAGGGTGGATTAGTGGACTATCAAAGGCATGTCTCCAGGCTCCTCTACCATTACTCTTTTCCAGATTCCTGCTCGCCATCTGATTTTTCTTTTTGGTCTTTTTAGCCTACTGCGGAGCTTGGTCCCAGACTACCAACTGACCAAAAGTGATCATAAAAGAACTTTAAATTACTCAATAACATCTTATAATAATATTATTACCAATGAAACTGAAAAAAATATCAAAATAAATGGAGAATGGAATCAATCAGTTATCGGGTGGACACTCTACCCACTGAGCTATGGGTACCACATATGGTGAACAGGTCACTTGGACACTTGACTTTGCATTTTGCAAGTACAGTGGAGACTTACCAAAGCCAAGCTCTATATTACGCACATCATGCAAGCACATTTGTTGGTAGCTTGCATGCTATAATAATTTACTGATAGTAATTAAAATTTATGACATGCCTTTTCCTTGCAAATTTGATCAAAAGTGTGTTACAATGCTTTAAATGTTAAAAGCAAAATAAAAGCTCAAATGTATTTAATAATTAAAACTAAAAGAAAGTAAATAACACTTAAAATACATTCAAAAGCAAGTCTAAAAAGATGCATTTTAAGTAACGATTTTTTTAAAAAACATTCAAAAGTTTGAAAGAGTAGATGGTAAACACCAGTGGCCTCGAGTACGAACCATGTGGAATATCATTATAAGGAAGCCTAAGACTATCAGATATGCAGCCATTTAGAGGGAGTCGTTGCAACCTGTTATTAAGATAAGACGTAAAGCAATTCAGGGCAGTTGCATTAATACAACATGTACCGATACTTGACTTAAGTCGAGTAAGCAGGATATTTTGGTCAACAGAGCCGTATACTACATTTATTAAAATCTATAAGAACTAGAAAAGTTACGTGCTTGCAGGTGATATTAATAGTAATTCTGGACCTTCAGTGGCGCTGTTTCTGTACTATGAACCTTTTCGTAAGCGGATTTTAATAATAATAATAATGGGTCTTTATTTCACACACAAAAAAGATACATATATCCTATGTTACAACTGTTTATGAATACCGTAAAATGTAATAAAATAAATAAACTAATCATAGAATCCTAACTATCCTTTACTAAGGTTGTGTTTAATATTAGTCTATTTACAAAGGCAGACATGAAATGCTCAGTAATAATTTTAGGATGGGAGCATTGTTTTTTACGGAGATTAATATAAGTTACAACAAACTTTCTTTGAAGGAATATATAGAGCTAGCAGGTGATTATTTGTAGAAGTTACTTTCGTAAAAATTTTACAGTCTTGCTTCTTTAATAGATCCTTAATTGAAACGGGGTGAGAAATAAAACAGTGTTTATGATATTTATCTAAAAAGTTCTATATAATATTAAGATCAGGTTCAGAAGCTCCATATACGGGTAAACCATAAATAATATGAGACAAAACCAAGGAAGTGAACAAGTGATCTATTTCAGCTTGTGAATATTGCTCTTTAGAGAGTTGGATAAAGGGCAAATCCAGTCATACGACTGTGAATTTGATCAAAAACAGCACTGTCTGTCAGTATTGATATAAAGTGTAAGTTGCTGACAGGGAGGAGGTTATACACATTATGACTCATCCATAGATTAGTTACTGGAATGTTGTGGGTTTGATTCCTGCTGAGGGGCAAGGAATTTTTCTTAGTATTTCTTTGTGTATGTTGCAGTTAATTTTTATTTCAGTTAATTTTTGTTTTTCCTTTGTTTTAAATTCATTAGTATACATTACCATACCCAAAAATAAAAATTAAGTGAAACTACATGTACGTCAAAATCTACTTTAGTTTCACAGCATTTGCTGGTTGGTTGGCTGATTCACTAAATTGTCAATCAGTTAGTCGAATCAAACCATATTTATACCATATTTTTTCGAATAAGCGCCCAACCCCAAATTAGCACCCACCTCAAATAAGCACCCATCCTAAAGGCAGAAAAAGTTAATAAGCACCCAGCCTGAAATAAGCACCCACCACCACCCCATCCCCTTCCCCCTCCCAACCCCCCACTAAAAAAAAATTGAATAAGTACTAATAAGAGACTTCCCCGAAGATGGAGTAATCTTCAGAGTATTTTATCGAAACCTTGTTTTGTTACATCTTCACATTTTGTTATTACCAGTTATTGTTTTGTTGCAAAATAAACATACTACTCTTGCTGAAGATGGTGAAAATTTAATAAGTGTCCAGCCTCGAATAAACGCCCACTCTCAAGGTCCAAAATTTTAATAAGCCCCCTGGGCAATTAATTGAACAAATATGATAATAGATAACTATTAGTAGACACAAGATTTAGGCTTGAAGCAGCATATAAAAGTAACCTGTATAAAGTCACCATAATATTGATATTAAGGTACAAGTTACGATCTAAAATCAAACCTCATGGTTGAGAATTATTAAAAATTGTCTAGAGGAGACTATTGACAGTGAAATATAATAATGGTAGTACATTGTCTTTTCTGTTTGTTGCCTGCAGTTTTCTAAGAAATTCTGCAGAAAAAGATGTTTATTAGAATGTTATTGTAAAAAATGGTTGACAACATAACTTGCCTGCGGCTTGTGATTCCACTCGAGTTTGAACATTTTAAAGTAATTTCTGTGATACAAAATAATCAGAGTGTACAGTCAATGGGAAATTGATGCCAGGCTAGAGTAATGCACTGGCGACCTGTCAATAAATAGATAGCACCAACTTGAGAATTGTAGACCCCTTGGCCTTTAAGCAACTATTAAACATAATAGAAACATAGCCACATTTGTTGTAATAGGATCAGGAGGGAGACGTGCAGCTGATCTTGATGATGATGATATCACTGATAATGATGAGGATGATGAAGACCTTGAAAACAACACTGAACTTTTGGTAAGGTTCTTACAAAATTTTATTAGTGCTAGATGGCCTTTGATGGTATTTAACTTTTTGATTTGTGTCTTGTTAAGAGTTTTATATTACATGTTTTGTTCCATTTCAGTAAAGTGTTAAACCGTTAACACTAAAAGAAAGCACACCTAGTTGTAAAGAATGTAAAGAAATGGTTGAGTACTATTATCTCATACATGTTCATGGACATAAAAGAACTCTCTGAGTGTGCTTGTAATACAAGTAACTTGATTGTTGCCTTTAGGTTACAGTTTTAAGCAAAAAAGACAACAGCTATGCAACCCCAGAAAAGGGGGGGCTGGCAGGTGCTATGCCTTGCCCAATTTTTGATTAACATTATTGACATCTGCTGTATCTTTACAGGCTGAGCTGCAGTGCATTGCACCAGGGGAAGATGGCTCTGAACGGCAGGATCCAACACCAGTCTTATTGCCAACTCCTAGCAGCAACACTCAACAGGTTTTTTAATACAAAAAATACAAAAAAACATTTTTTTAACTGTTTTTTTTGTATTTTGTTTCACTAAAAGCATCAGTGTTATGGTAATAAAGGAAGGGGAAGTACTAAGTACTGTGGAATACAATGTTCTTTTATTTTTTTCCCTTCATTTTTCTTTACATTTTTTTTTGTTCAGGAGACCAAAGAGAGTTCATCTGACTTAAACATATTACTAGAAAGGGAGAAAATGTATAAGCAGGCTATTGAAAATGCAAACAAGGCTGGTGAGGGAAGTAAGGCGAGAAGATATGGCCGAGGACTCAAGGTGCAGTACACAAAAATTCCTTACATTATGTAAACCCCAAGCCTGGGTTAATGAATTTTTACAAGAGAAGAATTAACTTTTATCTCCTTCTTACCTTCACCTTCGCCTATCCTCTTCATGCCACTTGGAACATAAGGCCTCCATGCCCAGAGTGTTTCTACATTTCTTGGATACAGTGTATAGTTGCTATGGTTGTCACTTAATCCAATGATTGCCACCTTACGTCCCTTCTTCCTTTTTCAACTGTGTGCCTCCAGGTGGTCTTTGGTCTTCCTCTTCTTCTTTTTCCTTCTGGTGCCCCGTTTTGGTTCATAGTACAATCATATATATGTCTGATCATCTTTCATCTTCGCTTCTTCCCCTATCTGCTGTTTTTGGTAGCTCTTCAGTGCTGACACAGTCCTGCCACTGGACCATGCTGGTATTCTTTCATCTTCTGCCCCGCCATCATCACCCTTTATTTGTTTTCCATGTTTCACACCCATACAGCAAGACTGGGGCTACCAGTGTTTTGTACAGCTTCAGGTTTGTTCTTCTCGAGATGTTTTTGGAGCACCAGATCCTCTTTAATGTAGAAAATGCACCCCTAGTTGTAAGAGTCTGTTTTTCAGGTCTTTTATACCACCTCTCTCCTATCTCCCAAATCAGTGAACTCATTTACTTCTTCTATTCCTTGTCCAGCTATAAAAATCATTTCCTGGTTCTTTGCATTAATTATCATTAACTTTTGTCTTTGCCATGTTGATTGTGAATCCCACTTGTCTGGCTTTTATCTTTATCCACTCTTGCTGTTTCATTTATATCTTGAATCTGCTGTTTGGTACTACATCATGTGCAAAGTCTAGGTTGTCTAGTTTAGATGTGAATTTCAGTTTTCTACCTGATACCATTCACGCCATGACAAAGTCCTCTTCAGCTTGGCTGATTAAAAAAGAAATTCAATTGAACTAGAGGTTAAAAAATTGTAAGTATAATGCTGTACGTGAGCAGATGCTGACAAAGTAAAACATCATCAGGCATAGCAACAATAAACTGACATACATCTAAACATTTTGATAAATGTTACAGACCTTGTTATTTGGTCGATTAATAATTTAATATTATCCTACTTTTTGATTGGCTATCCAAGCAGAAGAGATTGGCCTGTCCTGCGTGCTCTGAATCTCCTGCTTTGTCCAGCAAGAAAACATTTTGTTTTGGCCACAATGTAAACCCTTTATCTAGCAAGCTTGTTTGGTCAAGATCTCTGGATATATTGGCCAAGTGCTTTTTGCATTATTTTTCATTGACCTTAACTTTGTCTCGGTCTGTAAAGGGCAAAAAAGAAACTGACCTATACAGACCAACAACCTTGACGTAACTCTTGGTCAGTAATAATACAGTGTTTATAAACTGTAGTTATTAGTGTTTTTGTTTTCTGTTTTATTTTGTTTTATTAGTTTCTCTGCCCTGATTACAAAATAATTTAAAAACCCACATTGATATTTTGTCAACACACCTCTCTGCAGCTGTAGATTTTCATTTATACCTTGTTCTGTAGGAAATAGAACAGATGATAAAACAGGCCAGAGCTGGAAAAGCTGTTGACATAGATGCTCTTCTTCCACCAGTCCTCACTGGAACTGCAGTAAAGCCATCAGTTTCTGACTCCTCTCAACAAGCTCAGACTGTACCAGTAAAGGAGGAATTGGGTTCAACCAACAAGCCTGCTAAACCCTCGGGGGAGGGTAATATACTTGGTAATGTACAAACAAATCGTAAGGAAAGTTTTTTTGTTTGGTTGATAGTTGACAGATTTAAGAGATGTTACATTGAGCCTACACTACTGTTTTACGTGCATTGTTTTGATGTCCTGTGAATTTGGTTCTATGCTGGTAGTCTGAAAACAGTTCCCAATACGTAGATTTTTTTAAATAGACAAGGTTCAGGAGTTCATATACCATTGGTTAAGTAAGCATAAATTAAAGGTCCTTTTGTTATACGTGTTGCCATGTTCCCACCAATTGCACAGCTCCACCATTCAACTTATAAGACTTACACAGCTCACTCCCTGGATTTGCTCTGACAAAGGGCTGGCTCATAAGATCAAATTATTTTGAATTGATTATTTGTACTTTTCACTCACGCACCTATATGGCACAACAGTTTCTTTTGAATGTAAACCATTTATTTATTTAATTATTTATAAGAACTTTTTTTGCCTCTTAGGAACTAGTGATCAGCAATCTCAGGAAGCCAAGGTATTTAAAATGTTGCACCCTTCCTTCAGTCCTTCTCATGAACGTGACATTCTTAAACATATGATTCTCAGTATTAGGACAACATTTTTGTGTATATTGGAGGGTGCTGCTGTTGTTCTGTTCAGCTCTGCTTTAACCTATATTTTAAATTCTTTATGAATGGTTGTGGGGTAAAAGTTCTTTTTTCTTGATGTGCTTTCACTGTCAGCTTTCTGCAGCTGAGAAGAGTAAAACCCTGGAGCTTTTTACAACGAGACGAAATGAATACAGAATAGCCGCATTGACTTGCAAGAAACATGGAGACATCCAGCAGGCAAAACAGTTTTTAGCAGTTTCAAAGGTGAAAGAGTGAACAATTACCCTTTTCTTGAATAGTTATTGTGAGTTTTTCTTGCATTCCTTGTAGTCCTTATTACACATTTCTGTGATTAAAAATTTGTAATCATTTTTTTGTTTTACACTTATTTGTAGAAAATAGATTCAGCCATTGAAATGCTAGGAAGAGATGAGCCAGTGGACAGTTCACAGCTTCCACCAGTGCCATCTGTTCCCAGGACAAATGAAATCTCAGGTAACTTGAAAGTTATAAATCTAGCATAGTTCAGAAGAAAAAAGCCTTAAATTTAGCCAGACAGGCCTCTTTTGTGTGTTACCTGCTGTAATTCTTCCTCTCAAGTAAGCACACATCTTTTTGCATAAGTATTCAGGACATGAAGCATCATAATTTCTGTTTACCTTTAAAGGTGAGACTCCAATTCCCACACAACAGGCCGTCCCCCCTCAAGCTGAAGGACAGTCATCTACAGCAAGCGAAGCTCAGTCTGCAGGAGGGCCTCCACCTCCTCCAAAGGATGTCATGGAAGCTCTGCAGCAGAGGTTGGACAAATATCAGAGTGCAACTGACCAGGCAAAGAAAGAAGGAAATTCCAGCAAGGCACGCAGGATGGGACGCATTGTTAAGGTGAGAAGAATAATCGGAATTGCAAAATTTTACAAAAAACAACCTTTATTACAAGCAAAATAGGAAATTCAATGCATGGGGTTTTCTGTACATTGAGTTGTCTCTCTAAAATAATTAGTTGTTTCCATTTCGCAGTTTTTTCTATATCTTCATTTTTGTTATCATGAGAAACTGTATAATTTGTATGAATTTTACATGTATGTTTTTTGCTCAATTTTCCTTATCACACAACAACATTGCTTAATTCTGTTCTAGAACATCAAAGTTTTAACACTGAATGTTCACTTTTTCTAGCTTTTTTTCTATTTCGTTGTTATTTGATATTCTCTCCTTTTATAAAAAATTATAGCAATATCAAGATGCCGTTAAAAACCATAAAGCAGGAAAACCAGTGGCATTTGAAGAACTACCAACACCTCCAGGATACGCACCCATCCCGGGCGTTGCTGCTTCTGATGATACATCTGAAGACATCCCTCCTGCTTCTCAGGCAAGATATAATGTCCATACTATTGAGTTTATTACCTTGTGTTTTGCAACGAACGTTGTCCAGAATTCTTCTCTAATGCTGATTTGTTTAGCGGAAGTACAAAGCTTAAGTTCAAGTTTGCATAATTGGCATTTTTTCGCTAAAACAAAGAAGATTATAGCGTGGTTGTGGCATTCTTTTTTTGTTACTTATGTTACTTACAGAAACAAATCCTAAGTTATTGAACTTCTGTGACTTCTCTTGTACAAGAGGCTCAAGGGGGGCGTGACTAACTTTTGTAAAGAAGGCTCTGAATAATCTTATTTGAGTAAACTTTACTCTTTATTGAATTCGCCAAGGTGACTCAACACGGTAGCAGGGGATGAAACAGGACTTACGTTCCAATTGTTATCAACCCCTTCATTACCCAACTAGCCCATGAAAGGCTGTACCACACCGCGGGGGGTCTACGCCCCCTACTCTTTACGAACAGCAGTCTGGGTTCTTTTATGCCCCACAAGAATCAGAACAGTGAAAGAGCTGTGAGACGGGGCCTACGGTTTCTCGTCCTTATCCAAGAAGACTGGAATGTCTAACCGTTTGTAGTTGTCACAACAAAGATAGCACATTCTCCTCAGTTATTTTAAGACCCTGAATGTTGGTCTTGTTGGGATTTGAACCCGCGAACTCCCGCTCGGTAGACCAGCGCCTATCCAACTGAGCTAACCGGCTGGGCCCGGAGGGGGTTAGGTTACAAGCAAAGTTACAGGCAAGTTTCAACCATGACCTAGCCATGTTTATTTTCTTAACTGAGATTACACATTGCAGGAAGAACTTGTTCAAAAATATTGAGATTTGAACAAACCGCAATTTTAAAAGAAAAATTTTAAAACTTTCAATTCGCTGCCATTCAAGCACACTATTAATAATCTCTCAGAAGCTCAGGTACTCTGACGTTAATTTAGGAATAGTGACATAAATAACGGTCATGTAAATTAAGATGCAAGTGAATAAGTGTGGAAGAGCCCGAGTCCCGTCTTCGCCATCTTGTTCCACCGACTCGATCGCAGGCGCACGGCCACTCCCTTCACAACAAAGACGGACCATCCCTTATAAGTTGCAAAACTGAACGCTTTAAACGAAGCTTGACGCCTGAGTTGACTGTGCTCTGATCTGTTTCAAAGCACGCACGAAGCAGCTAGAGCGCGAAAGACGTGTAGAGAGAAATATGATCGAGACGTAGTCGAGTGTTACCCCTACGTGCAAGGCTTCTATTTTTATTTTATGATAAAGAATCAGTTTCTTTCTCATTTTCAAAACAGTTTTTACCTCCCTGTTTTATACTCTCATAAAGCTCGCTTTTTCAGCCAATCAGAGTGCACGTTATATCTAAATTTACAGCGGGGCCATGTTATGGAATAACTTGCCAAAAAGCTTAAAAAATGCTGCATTCGTTGAGCATTTTAAGCGAAATATCAAGAAGGTAGCTGATATATCGGATTCCCAGGCGGCAATCATGTAAAGCAGTTGTAATTAGTTTTAGTTTTGAAGTTAAGCTTAACTGATGATTTCCCGTGTTTAAATAAAGATTTACATACACACAGACAACAAAACAAAAAATCCAAAACCAATCGCATTGTGGACTTGGCTTCCTGCATCATATCAATAACACTGATTAAATAAAAGAAGTTAACTCTGGTCAGGTTTTTTTTTTTTTTTTTTTTTTTTTTTTTGGGGGGGGGGGGGGCCTTGCAGTCATGCGGTGGGCCCAGTAGAAGGGAAGCATGAGGTGACTGTGAGATGTTTATTTAATTAGTTTGATTTTATGGGTTTTTAATTCATTAGATTTGTATGCGTGCCTTTTGTTTATTATTTTTTTTTCTTTTTAGGGGGGGGGAGGACACAGTTCGATATAACGTGCTCAGTGATTTGTTGAAAAAGCGAGCTTTATGAGAGTATAAAACAGGGAGGTGTTAGAAATTACAAAGTAACGGATTCTTTATCGTCTCGTATTTCCCCCTATACTTCTTTCGCGCTCTAACTACTTCGTGAGATGTAGGTAAAGAAAATACTGTAGACTAAAGTTTTTGATCAGTACACTAAGTGTTACTTACTCTAGATTAAATTAACCTTAATACAGTAACCCTTTTAGTCAACTGCTTGGACAGTCAGGTCTACCATGCTGAAAATCATTGGATCCAACATTTGTTATGCAATGTGTGCATTCAAACAGATCCCGAATATGAATGTTGGTATTTGAACTTTCAAGTACGTGTATGTACAATGAAATAATTTCTACCAAGTCTTACATCCAACTGTTTTGTGTTTGGACAGTTTTCTGAACCACCTCAAGCACCTGTTAGTCCTCCTACTGGTGTTGTAGCCGCTGCTCCTGCTGCTGCTGCTGCTTCTGTGAGTACTGCACGTCAACCCGCCTTTCAAGCTGCATCATCCATGAGGAAATCTCCTGGCCGTAATGAACAGCAGCTCAATTATCTGCTGGAGAGACAAAAGGAATTCAAGCAGGCAGCTTTGAAGTCAAAACAGCAAGGGGATCTGGAAGGTGCTAAGAACTATCTACGGATGAGCAAGGTCAGTTAGTTTACGCTTGTATTGCAAGCAGTTTCTCAAACATGTGATGAAAGTTTTTCAAAAGTTACAAGGACTGAATAAGTTTAAAAGAAAACTTTCCTTGGTACAATGTTAGCTGAATCAGTTTGATTATATGTCAGGCAATAAAGCTGTCATATACGTCATTCTAGACACATGCAGTAGTCGTTCGTATCAATTTCAGACACCTAACTAGAAATTTTCATGTGACATACATATAGTCTTTGTTTTTCAGGGTCTTGATCGGATGATCTTGAATGCACAGAATGGACTAAGAGTCGACTTAGGATCGGTAATGAAGCAAATGTTCGTTTTTGAATTTTTATGATATTCTTGCCTGTTGTTTTTATCGTCAGGCATTCATGCGGTACTATTTCGTTTCATGTTTTCTTATTTTGTTTTTCCTTCCTAAGGTGCCTCCATCACCTTTTGTAGCTGCTAGACCTGCACCAACAAGTGAGCTCAGCTTTGAGATGGTGGAAGCACAAGACTGTGATCCAACCCCACGGACCCCTGAAGAAACCTCAGAACTTTTTTCTCGTCTGGAGGATGCCCTTATTAAACAAATCGAGGTGAATTCTGGAGCATTGACTGTGGAGTAAATTTTATCGGCGGTTCAACATAAGAAATAGGACAAAAAATATTTTTTAACACCAACAATTTGTTGAAAGTTTAGCAGAGTTTCGGAACCCATCCGGATCCCTTTACTGATCAGTTTGGCCACCATTTTATCCAAGTCAGGATTTCGGAACCCATCCGGATGCCTTTATCTGTTATTTGCTGGTATTAGTAAACGACCTGTGAAAATGATCTCACTCATTTAGTACGTCATACTGTTGAGATTTGATGTCCATGCCTAACAAAGGCTTGTAAATTATACCATTGTTCCTCATTTTGAAGCACAGGTAAATTCTTAATGTATTATGTATGGTTTGATTTATGTCATAAGTCTTTGAATTCACAGATGTGTGCAAGAAATGCAGAACACTACCGAAAACTAGGAGATATAACCAACACTAAAAAGTAAGTCAAGATTTTTTCAGATCGTTTCCTCTAGATCCACCGTTTAGTTAAACGCAGAGTGTCTTAGTGAGTTAAGATTGGTTCGATGGCAATTAAAATCTAAGTCAGGGCCTCTTGTTTTTTTGTTAAATGTTTTTGTTTGTTTGTTTTTCTGTTTCCATCCACTTTGTCCCTCTCTCTACTGTGCACCCTAGTGTTAATTATTTGCTATATAAACCACAAGGGAAACTTGGCAGACTGCAGTAGGTGATTCACGGTGGTGATACTGCTGTTGGGGTTCAGTGTGGGAATGATGGTGGTCATGATGGTGATGGTAATTATAGTAGTTACAGTGTACAACAGAATACTAATTTATTGCCTAAGGCTCGGTAAACATTGGCAGTTGGTTGAATGACTGTTACTTAAAGCAAGTATGTTAATTTTGAGTTGAACAACAGAGATAAAATATAAACTCAAGCTTCTAAGTTTAATCCAAAGACCTCCCTGTGCGATTTTTTCAAACAACCATTTTTTTCAATTATTTTTCGAAGCTTTGAAACCATGTCAAAGAATTTACGTCTGGACCATGATGCTGTTCAGAGTGCAAGGAAACACAAGGATCCTCCACCAAGATTTCATTATGAAGATCGGTCATTCACCATTGTTGAGTGAGTAACAGATATACTTGTTACCTATAACGGGACGAAAGTTCATGTAATACTTTCTGCACAAAATGACGATGTGAACATTGGTTTCTTTATTTTATAGTTCCTTCCCGGATCTAAGTGACTCGGAGGTGGAAATTAACATTGTGAGAGGGCTCAATATCCCCCTGCCTTCTGGTAGGCCATGATATTTGTTATTCTGTCTGATAATATGTGTATTTCTTTGAGTTTCGCGCCTTGTGTCTTGTATAAGTTGAGTACCCTTCCATCGTTTTTCTTCTTTTTCAAACAGGTTATCAACCGAAAGACATGTACACTTATGTATCTTACGAATTTCCATATCCGAGTGTAAGTATTTAAAACACCAACCGCTATCCGGCATAAAGAAGTAACGAGCTATTTTCTTTCAATTGTAGTTCCGCGTACGTTATGAGATGAAACGACATCCAGAAGTAATCATAATGTGTTATGGTTATTTCAGACAAGTTTGTTGGCGGTACATGCGCATCCGCGTCAAATTTGTTTTAGTGGACCTTTTTCTTTCCTTATAAGGTGTCAGCAAAATCATTCAGCTTTTAGAAATCTTACTGCAATGCAATCAGCTTGGCTGGCCGTCCCTACCAGGCTGTGTTAACGGCTAATTGATATGTTGTGTTACCAGGCGGATGAACCACAGACAGGCAGAACACAAACTGTTAAGCACTCGATAAATCCAGGTAAGCTATGAAAATTGATTATTCACCTCGTCAGCTGGAATGAAGATATTTTACATAAGAAATAAAGAGTTTGTTCGAGAAATTTTGTCCTCTTCGTTTATTTCTTTGTAGAATACAATGAAGTTTTTAAAGTTAACATAGATAGGAAAAATCGGTCGTTAGGACGCATATTCAAGAGGCAGCCAGTCAAATTTGAGGTGAAATATGAAAGGTAAGTATTTGCAGTGATCATGATGTTGTAGTGTTGTACTGTATATGTTACAGGTCAAATTTGATTTCAGGTTAAATTCTTCTCATTCCCTTTGTCTCTTAGGGCTAGGAGACAAAGGAATTGAGAATCAACCTAAGTTAAATCAAATTTAACCTGAAATCAAATTTGACCTGTAACATATACAATAAATCTCGTAAGTTAACTTGTCAAAACTCCATGCTACCTGTAACAACGTCTTGGGAAACATTTTTTTGCTTTTACACTTTAAAAATTATATATTCAGTTGAGAGAAGCAACGAACTGTTCTTTGAAAAAGAATGAAAGAAAACAAACAAATCATTGTTTTGAAAGCTGTTTAGAAAGTTCACACTGACTCCAAAGCTCCCGATAACGACCACAAGAATGTGCTGCTCGATATTCTGAAGGATATTCATACCGACACAGAATTATGAGAAACCCCTCTAAACAGCATGATAAACAGTACCAACGAACTTTTTCTTTTTTCTATACTTATTTAAGTATTGTTAGGACAGTCTCAGATATACAAAACCTCTCTCTCATCTATCTTGTCATATTGAACGTTACAGTAGGTATTCACTGCTCAATAGCTGGCATTTAAATGTTCATAGCTAAGGATTTCTACAAACAAAGGTTATAGCAACATTACACCACACAGTAGTAGTACTTGAAAGGCTTTCCATTAGTTCAATTAAGAACTCCAATCAGTATAGGGTGTACCCTCAGTCAGATCATTGGCTGACAAAGCAATACAGGTAGAGTTGTTGTTGATAGTAAAGGAAAACGGAGATGCTGCTGTTGTTATTTTTCCAGGGGATTCCTAAAAGGTGACAAGGCTTTAGGACAAGTGCAGGTCAAGCTGAGCTCTTTCGAGAACAAGTGTGAAATCCATGACTGTCTAGATGTAAGGAGCGTTCTCTAATTTTTAAAAGCAAGCCTTTAGCTTTTTCTGGTGTTGACTACTTTTGAGCACATAGTATTTCAGCTGAAAGTCTGCTCACAAAAAAACTTATTACCTACTTAACGTCGTTACTGCGGTTTTGGGATAATTCACAACGGAAAGTGGTAAAAATGAAAATGGCTTGCTCTCAAATGTTTCACGTTCACCTTAGTCACTTCTCACATATTGCCCTGCTTTCTCCCCAGTTAACTCCCCAACTTCCTGTTTCTTGCCCTGAAAGCCCCTCTCAAAATTATATTTCGTAAAACCATAAGCGGTGTATCGCACAGCAAACCTTTTCGGTCAATGGTTCTGTTAATCGGGCACAATTATTGTAAAATCATCATATGTGTAAGTGACATATGTTTGAACAGGGAACGAAAGTGGAACTCTCATTGGGATAAAGGCAGGACAGTTGTAAAAGTGTTCTAACTCCGGTGGAACTTAAATGATTTTGGGTTGCTTTGCATTTAGCTTATGGACACCGATCGCGGACGCAAAGCTGTTGGAGGAAAACTTGAAGTTCATATGAGAATCAGAGAACCACTTGTGGACAAAGACGTGAAAGTTGAAAAATGGAAATGGCTAGTGATTGATGTTCATCTTACCTCTAAAAGGGTTGGTTTACTTAAGAAATTCCTCATCTTTCGATGCTGTTGCAGTTAAATTAAGTAAATAGTCAGGTGAAACAAATACTGATTGTTAGAACGTACTTCCGAGACAGTGAAACATTTTAAAACTGAAACTGAGACAACCTTGTCCTAGGCAGCCAGCTACGCGTTATTCGGCATTAACATTTTTGTTTATTGTAATAACAACGATTAGCTGTAAAGTGCCGGATCGGTCGGCCACTTAGATGCTCCACTCTCGTACGAATGCGTCACTGATCACTTTGTTTTCAGTAACTAGCTCGTTAATCTGCCGTGACGCGTCAAACTTGATTGCGAGAAGCAATTTGTTTTTGCAAGTATATGTTACAGGTCATGGTCTCCGCTATAAACTGAATAATATGGTAGCTACACTCATGTCATTACATTTGATCATTTTTCTCTCTCTTTTATTGTATTTACAGACAGCTACTGTACCCAGGGTAGGTATCTGATCTCTAGCAAATTAATGCATGCTCAAGGTCTTAAGAAACTCCCACAAGCCTGCCGCACAGTGGATTAACTTGGCTATTTGACATCTGACATTTCTTGGAAAAATTGAGAAAAAGAAAACGGTGCGCTGTGAGCTACAGTCACACGAACTAGCACCTTTTTTGTCCTTTAATGTTTCTATCATATTTGTACGATTGTCCTCAGTAATGTCCTCTGTTCCTTAAAGAAATCTAAATTTTTAAATCGATGTCAGTGAATTTCCTGTGTAAACCCGCGCAGTTTTAGACACCAAGAGATGGACCTTGTTATCGGTGTAATTAATCTGTTCTTTTATGTCTTTGTCTTGTTTTAGGAACCTGTGAAAGTATCACCAAAGCCTGGCAAAGTTACAAGAGGACCAGAGTAAGGAGCTGCTTTACATATCTTTTTTTAAGGTTTTAGTCACCGAAGAATGAGCCTTATGTCAAAACTCCAGGGTCAGAGACATTGAAAAGTTAAAAAAAAGAAAATGAAAAAACGAAAACAATCCAAATACGCAAAAGACAAGATATGCTGGCAAATTATCTTGCTGGTTTGATTTTCGCCCTAAAATTTCCACCAAAAAGGCAAGTACCAGGACCAGTTCAATAGTGTAGACAGTCTCTGTTAGTTTCTTTGTCTGTTAGTTCTCGAAAAGAAGCGTTTTCCCTTAGTTAAATCTGGCTTTATTTATATTTCAACTACTTTCCTTGCTGTGGCGGGATCCTTCGTTTTTTTATTATCGACTTTGTAAGCAATGACAGTGCCTCTTCCGAATCCATCTTCTCAATCGTCCCAATCTTTCCCAGAATCCAGGTGATCGAGTTGATCAGGAGGATTACATCAGGCTTTACTGTGACCTCCAACTCACTACCTTATATGGTAACCAGGTTGTATCGTGACCTTCCACTCACTGCCTTATATGGTAACCAGGTTGTATCGTGACCTAGCACTTACTGCCTTATATGGTAACCAGGCTTTTGTGTGATGGCTTCCACTCATTACCTTATATGGTAACAGGGCTTTACTGTGACTTATGACTCACTGAGTGCCTTATATGGTAACCGGGCCTTGGTGTGACCTTTTCCTGATATGAGCATACCGGCTTGATGCCAGACACATGCTATGTTGATATGAATTGTCCTTCTCTAGTGGTTTTCGAAACTGAAATACCCATTCTACATAGCCAAGACAGTATCAAGCAAGTACACTCCACGGGCGCACCGTATTATACAAACACTACATACTGTCACAGCTCACACATGCGCACTATCGTCCCTTTCCGGGTTTGTTTAGGATTGAATTGACTGAGGTGTGACATATCTGGCGGGTAAAACAATTAGTTTGAAGTTTTTTTTAAAAGTCTGTCCTATCCTGAATGTTATAACGCTTTTGTGCCAGCACTGCTTTTACCTTTTGAACTTGATGAAAGCTGTTTGTTTCAGTGAAGTTTTGTATTTTGGGGACAAACTTTATTGCGCTATCAATCCTGACAATAAAATTAAAGCAACTGCAAATTCAATTTTGTTTTTTTGCTGCCTAGGATGCTCTAGCTAAACCGTTAAATCCCGTTTTGCTTGTTAGTAAATGGAAGGCCTTTCTTGTGGTACTCGATCCAACATTGTTTTGGATATGGTACATTTTGTAGCTTTAATTTGATATCTTTTTGTGGAGTCTAATAAACGTTGCTTGAGTATTGCACACACTCAAAAGTTAGAATCATCTTGTACTGCATGATAGATAGTGCTAAGATAAAAAAAACCGTTTTATTAGCTGTGGATATATTATTTATTATATGATTCATTTAAAACTCACAAAACCAGGTGTAATTCCAATATGGAAAGAGTGAAATATAAGTTCCTTCTCCTCGTGACAGTACAAGTCAGTTCTCAGTTCTCTCACTTTCCTGTGCACTAACTGGTTTTGAGAGTGATAATTAAGTCCTTTTGTTTCACTCGATTCATTTTTCTCCTCTTCTTCTCTTTCGTTCTTAGCGCCAAATCATCTGTTTGTTCTGTCACGTGACCAGTTAGTGGCCAATAGGATGAAGGAATGAAGATCATCAGACTGAGAAGTTAAATCGTAGTTTTCTAAATGAACATAAAACATGAATATAGCGTGCAAAATAATCAGCACTTTGATGGTCACACTATTATATGAACCGTTATGTGTCTTTCTTTCGTTCATGAAAAGTCCTCATATTGCCAAAGACTTACACAAATTACAGGCTTGTAAAAGGTGTCATCTAGGAGGCCAAGAAATATTTGGCTATAATTACATTATCTTGGGACCATTGAATGATAGAGGAAAACAAGCTGTAAGATTTGTATAGGTTGTTTTTCGGCTTTTTGGTCTATCAATGAGGCGGTTTAATATACGTTTGTTTTGTCTTAAAACAAATGTCAACCTGTAAAAGTAGGATTGGTGCACGAAAAAGTCATGGGCTGATGGCGTTTTTAGAGATTATGAATTGCAGCTGGTACTGCTTTTGTATTTTTTATAAAATTGTAAATAATAGGCTGGTCCTTCGTTCCGTTTTCAAATTGTAATCGTGAACGGCTTGTTTGTGGTTTTGTGGGTTCGTGCTTTTTGTGTAAATTAGACTGTCTATTCTGCAAAAGTGTCTTCACAAAATGTCCCAAAAATTCCATTTTAAAAAGTGGTAATATATGATTTTAATAATTGAGACCACTCAGACTTAAAGTATTGACCTTCTTTAATTTAAGTAGCTCTGGTCTCAAGATCATCTCGAAGCTCCTTGAGAAAACAAAAATATGTCATTATTAAACACCGTAGAGGTTCAGGTAACATACTTTATTCATGTAGTGATAGATTATTAAATGAAATCTTTTTGTAGAAGAATGATTGTAAATTTTTTTAACATTTTCCACGTTGACGATAAAAATATTAAACTGGGTTCCTAAATTTCCACGTGTGGAACTAGGATTTATTTCTTCACTCCATCATATTCTGTAAAAAATTTAAAGAACAATTAAGTGTGTGTATTGATTTTATTGAGTGCATCAGCAGTGTGATACTCAACTTTGATGATCACTGCTGGAATTGTAGCTGTTGTCCCGCTGTTTTTAAGACTACGCCCCTCCGTTTTAGCCCATGCAGGCATCGATCGGATGATCTTTGAGTGCCGCTTCATCTTGTTAGGCCTCACTGCTCTTCCTCGAGATAACCACTAGCCGTCTGACTTTTGTCTCTGTGTTTTTTACTATCGTATAAATGCATCTCGAAATAGGCCCTTGCAGGCGCTGTCTGTCAAATTATCACTTTTCATTTTCCAAAAAAGGGCAAACGAAAAATGTCCCTTTCCCTTTTGAGTGACGTCTAGTAACAACATTGATTAGTTGTCTTGAGGGAAAGTGGGGATGAAGCTTGACTTTATCTGAACCATAGAATTATCAGTAAGTCTTTTCTAGGGTAGTTAGCGAGGTGTTGGAAAATCAGGCCCGAGTTGTTTTAATTTAGGACAGCATTAATGATTATTCACCAGATAAATTTCTGTCCGGTAAATAAGTATAATGGAAACCAGTTTAATACTGATTTAATGAGTGGTTTTGAACAACTGGAGTCTGCTTGGTATCGTAAAGTTTCTGGCCCTTCGGCCATAGGTAATTTTAGAACAAAATATGAGGGGGAGCCGGGGCCTAATCCTCGTTATAAATACCATACCATAGCATACCATACCATACCATACCATAGCATACCATACCATACCATACCATACCATACCATAGCATACCATACCATACCATACCATACCATAGCATACCATACCATACCATACCATACCATAGCATACCATAGCATACCATACCATACCATAGCATACCATACCATACCATACCATAGCATACCATACCATACCATAGCATACCATAGCATAGCATACCATACCATACCATACCATAGCATACCATACCATAGCATACCATACCATACCATACCATACCATACCATAGCATACCATACCATACCTTATCGTAGCATACCGTACCGTACCGTACCTTATCCTCCACCCAACAACCAGGCAAAGCCAGTTATTCGAAGGCCGGTTAGCGCTAACCCAGGGTTAAATTATAATCCGAATTTTATTTTCTTTTATTCAAAAGCATCTTTTTCTTTTAGAGAAAAAGAATTTCACTGAATTTGCCTTTCAAGCCCTCATATCCTCAACCCAGCTTTGAACAACCCGGCCCTCAGTGCTCCAGCCGTAGTGTGCGCGAAGGAGCAAAGGCGCATTAAACGGCGCGTTATCCAGCCTTCTGTAAATTCTACCAGTAAAGCTTATCCAAGCCTAACCTTTATCAATATTGTTTAACTTTTGTTTCTTTTCTTTGCTGTTAATTCAGCACTCAGATGGAGACTATCAGTTTGGAAGTATTAAAACTGGAGAAACAGATGGCTGAAAAACAGGTGTCTTAATATTTTGAAAATTACAGCTGCGATTCCTACTTCAGAAAGTTGATTTATGATATTCTTCGTTAATAATTTGTGAGACACAAGGACTACCCTGTCCTATCAGTCAAAATCAATCTGTCAATCATTTATTTTGTGAAAAATTCGTTCATAAACGGAATGTGTATAACTAAAATATATAATATTTACATCGTTATCTACCTAGAGTGTATATATGTTGTCCTATTTACAAGCAAACGTATCCATATGAAAGGCTGCACGATACAAGAATCATAAATATTTCCAAAAATTATATTTACGAATTTTGTTCTTAAAATTAATTCTTTCTATCCCATCGCCAGAAGCTTTCAAAATAGATTCCTCATAGAATTTTCGATAGACTGCGTTAAAACTGTGAAAGGTTTGAGCCCAGGAGTCATTTCATATATAGGTTGAGTATGATGGTCCGAGAGTTGTCCAATACACTCGCACTGTAACGGTCCGTATTATTCATGTTACGATCCCTACGGATCGTGTGAACTGAAAAACCTTCATACAGCCTGTAAAGGGGTGGTTACGGTCCGTAACTTGCCTCAGGGGCACCCAACGAGAATATAGTTCAAAACCACTTAAACACAGCATTGTTAAACGTATTTTAGTATTTAAACGGTAGATATAGGCATATTTTTATCCCCTCAAAATGTTTCATCTGTTCGGATTTCCTAGCTGAAAGTCTCGAGATCCGAAAATCATAGGGATCAAAACTTACCTTTTCGAACATTTCAGCCAGAAAAAAGGCTCCCGAAAATTCTAGGTGAGCTTTTTAGGGTAAAAATCCGTTAAAAATGGGCAATAACACCAATTTTTAGATGTTCCTAGGAGAGGTAGGCAAGCAAGAAATTTTATAAAAAATGTTCCGAAAATTCTAGATCTCAAATCGTCTTCCGAACAGATATTTTCCGAAAATTGACGTTGGGTGCCTCTGTTGCATCTCTTAGTGGGGCTTAGAATATTTATATTAATATTTTTCTGACAGTTTAGCCGTGATTTTATTGGCTATGAACACTCATAATGTCATTGGTGCGTTTCGATCCGTCTATTGTAAACAGTCGTTTATTGTTAGTCAAATTGTCGGTTGTCCAGTCATTCTCTAGTAGTTAGTTTTGTTTGAGTCCTTCAAAATAAGTCGTTTGTACGGTGCCGGTAACTGTTGACTACAGCGCGGACTTTGTTCGACGAAACATTCACAGTAGCCTTGTATGGCTATATTGATACTTATACTAGTTTTGTTAAGAGATTAAGTCACGGTCTTACTCGACGATCCCAATCTAGTGATACAAAGTACTTGGAAACGCCCTTTTGTAAATCAGTTACTTATTAATCCCTGTGACTTTCTCAACATCAAGATTTTTCAGACCAGAATGACTTCTTTGTACAATGACAAGTTAGCAAATGTTTTTGACCCCGATAAACCGTGTTTATGGGGACTACCAGCCTACTTATATCGGTGAAACCGGCAGAAACGTTAGTACGCGACTGACTGAACACAAATGAGCGACAAAAAATGGTGACGTCAACAATCACATCACTGAACACCTTTTACACACGAAACGTCAAATCGACTGGGATTCTGCCACATGTATTACGTATTCTACAGACTACTATCAACGACTCACTTTAGAAAGTTGATTTACTAACTTTGAATAAAGGCCACTGAATCATGGTCAACAGTTACCGGCACCGTACAAACGACTTATTGACTACGAGATAATGCCTGGACAACCGACAATTTTACTAACAATAAAGGACTGTTAAACCGTGAAAATAAACTGATCGAAAAGCACCAATGACATTACGAGTCTTCATAGCCAATAACGTCACGGCTAAACTGACAGACGACCAATAACATCGCGACTTAATTTACCAATCAGGGGCCGGTTGCTCGAAGCCTGGTTTGCGCTAACCGTTGCTTAAGAGGTATCAAAATGTATAGGTTTCCATGGTATTTAACGCTGGTTACCACTAACCATGCTTCCAGCAACCCGGGCCAGATCAGTAACCAAAGTTCAATACTATCAACTGACGTGATACAACTCACTTTGACTCTGAAGCTGACCACCGCACAGGTTGTCGAAACGTCAGTCACTGTCAACAACAACAGTCCTATTCAGGACTACGTTCACCCGGACGATCATACTCAACTTACGTAGATTGCATTAGTTGTTCACAAGACCTTATAAAATTTGGTCTAAACCGAGTTCTTGTAAATGGCATTGTGAAGAAACTATAGAATAAAATCCTCGTTTGTTTGAGGTGACATTTTGTTCCTGACGTAGGCAGAAGTAAAGTTTGTTTTTGATCGTAATCCTTACTGACGTGTAACGTCTGGATTTTGACCTTTTTGTTCCATCAATTGGAAGGGGACGCAGGAAATATCACACTGCTGTTGGAAAAAAATTAGGGGAGGTACCACACCCTGATATTGTGGCCGGCCGGTCGGTCAGGCTGTTCACAAAATCAAGGGTGTGGGAGGGTGAGTTCACAGATGATCTGGGTCTTCATTGTTGACGTCCCGTCTCTGAAAATAATTATGCTGTAATGTAGACTCTTTGTTGATTACTTATTCATCTTTTTATGGGATAACCAAGTTTATTAAAATGTTGTTGTCGTTTTTGTTTTAATCGTGTATAGATAGCTGTTCAAAAGTCCAAAGGTGAAGTTCCCTCTCCAGCCCTCCTACAACGCTGTAAACTATGCCAGCAAAAGATAGTCGAGATGGAGAAAACTTTGTCAGGCGCTGACAGAAATGTGTTGCTGAGTTAGTAAAACCTTGTTAGTATTTATATCAACTGAACTGGATAAAACGCGTGGAGGACCATTGCAAAGAGATCAAAAATCTGCCGCTTTTTCTCTGTACCCAGACGTCGCTCTCGCTATGTATTTTTGCGCAAAGGACAGTGGGAAGGTGAATGTTGTCCACCCCTCTCCCGTGATGCCTTGCTATGTTCAAACTGATTGCCTAATAACCTTACTGATGGCCGGACAGGATCACCGGGGTACTCCAGTAACTTTGAGCTGCATTTGATAATCAAATGATCTTTAAAACTAATGAGCTCATGTTTTATTACCTCTAGATTATATTCACCAACTTCAAAATAAAATTCCTCAAGAGCATACTAAAGCCCAGTTAGCACTCAGATCTGGAAATAAAAGTGAGGCTCAGCTTTGCTTAACCAAGAAGAAGTTAATGGAAAACGAGGTAAAATTCGTTGCTTGCATAGAATTTACTTTGACAACTTTTGTTGTTATGGAAGAATTTTAGATGGTTCGTTTTCGGACTTTGGTCACAGTCGCAGTCAACCCTTCAGGACAACTCGGATTAATATTAATCGGATTAATATTAATCCTAATGATTATTATAATCCAGTAATAGATTATTATAATCCAGTAATAGATTATTATGATCCAGTAATAGATTATTATAATCCATTACTGAGGTTTGAGCCGTCCCTTGATCAATTAGGATTACTATTAATCTTATGTAGGATTAATATTAATCAGATTAATATTAATCCTAATATTAGATCCAGTAATAGATTATTATAATCCATAACTGAGTTTGAGCCGTACCTTAAACGATTAGGATTAATATTAATCTGATAAATATAATCCCACAGCTCAAATCTGTACAAGTCTCTCAATAAAGAAAATATTCTATTCTAACCACGACGAATTTGCTACTTGTGCTAGTAGTTTGTGAACAAAACTCTTAATTACATTCAGTCAATAACCGCACTCCTTATTATACGTTATTATATTTCAGTAGCAGAAGTCGGCAGTTGTCTCAGCTCTGCTAGTAATACAGTTGTAACTGAATTTTTTGTAAAAACACATGCCCACCGCACGGATTCGCCGGCCCAGTGGCGCTTGTTCCTTTTCATTTACTTCTAGGCTCAACATCGCTACCAGCTCTAACATATGCAAGTGATCGTGTGACTGATGTGATCAGTGTTATGTGCCGTCAGTCCCTTGTTCAGCGTGTAATGTCTGCAGTTTGTCTGTCATAGCTCTGATCTGGATTATAATAGAGATTAATATTAATCCGGATGATTATTATTAATAATAATCTAATCCTTCCAATTTTTGCCGTGCCTTAATCTATTACTGGATTATAATAATCTATTGCTGGATTATAATAATCTATTATTGGATTATAATAATCTATTACCAGTTTATAATAACCTTATTATAATCTATTATTATTATAATCCACGGATTAATATTAATCCGAGTTGTCCTGACCCTTAACCTTTATTTTGGGGAACGCAAAAGTCAGTAGCTGGTAAACTTTTATGAAAAAAAAATATATCATTGGTAACCTGTATGTTCATATTGCAATAATTTAAGTTCCCAATTCTCTACGATGATCGCAAAGTGCAGGTCCTTTTGACAGATAATCGCTATGATCGTTATGTTTTCTTTATTTTTCAGGTTTCATCTATCAAGTCGCAACTTGGGATACGCTAGGATCGTCTGACTATTAGTAAATTTGCTACAAAACTTTAATTCCTCGGTTTCGTTCTTCCCCGGGCTGTCAAACTTTCCTAGACCGCGCCGGGTGCAGACTACTGACACTAAAGACAGTAAAAAATTGAATCGCAATTAAGTTTGTATCGGGTGTTACCTGGCTCGTCCCCAGTCTATTTGGATGTGCGAATTGCAGGCGAAGGACGGAACGCGTAGCCTGCGTAGCTGGCGGTTTTGTTTGTCGAGCGCGCAGGAGGAATGGGGCTGAAACAACGAGAAACCACCTGTCTGTTGCCTGTCTGCAGCATATCAGGTAGCCTTTTTGGGTAGTCCATTCGCCGGTGGAGTACGGACCATTTTAATTGGATTCTAAATACGTAAATCATACATTTTGCTAATTTCCCAAGGGGGAAACTCAAAGGGACTGCCGCCGGTTAACCGTGAAAAATGGCAGTTGAAGCACTAGCTGCGGCCGTATTGACCTTTTATATTTGGTTAGAATACCAAGAAATTATTCTGAAATACAGTGGAATCCGGCCTTACGGTCACCTCGGTAATACGGTCACCTCATTATTACGGCCACTTTTTTGGCCGCCCGGCAAAACGGCCATACCTTTTCTTGTAAAAAAAAACCCTTGTTAATACGGTCACCCGTTAAAACGGCTAAAATTTTTTTGGCCCATTGGTAACCGTATTATTGGGGTTCCACTGTATAAGAAAGAAAGGGCTGTTTACCATTTTACTATGGGGTCGGAGAGACGTAATGGTCGGGTTTTTTGCTCGCGAGCTTTGGTAAGAGATTGTATTCACTTACCTGAATTGTCATCTTCTTTTTCACGCGAGAAGCGTGAGCGGCGGAGAGAGCAAGAGGGGTAACAGGAAAGGGGAAAAAGAAAGAACGACCTTCCGTCTTTCTTTTTTCCTTCGCATCACTTCTCGTGCCAGTGCTCCCTTTGACCGCTCTTTCTGACTCGTTCATATTAATAGGAGACTGAGAAAAATCTGGGGACGAGTCAGTCTCGTTTCATCGCACGGAAGTAACGAGAACATTTAAAAAAAGATACAGAAATTAAATAAGATACATAAGTAAAGAGCTTTGCATTTATTTAACCTTATATCCTCAGAACTCTATCCAGCGGTAAAATTTTTTTCTATCACTAAAAGTGAAGTCTTCCGTCTCCGATGTGTATTCTTTTCTCTATTGACCGGCTGCGTATGGTAGCTTATAGTTGGCATTCTTGTTTTCTGTATGTCTGTTTCAATTTTTTTTTTTTTTTTTTTTTGGCTTTGTTTCTGCGAAGGTTCTCGGATTCTGTCCCGATCATGCAGCTTTCGTTATACCTCGAAGATTTTTATCTTGTAAATTGGTCTAAAAAATGGATTCCGCCTTTCCCGGCTTCTTTGCCCCGGCTACGATAACCGCTTGATAGACAGCTGGTCAGTGTACATTAACATCATTAGACTATCATTTGACTGTGACAGCGGGTTTTTACCTTTACTCTTTATGATTCAAGATAGGTCCCGGAAATAGGGTGACTCTTTAAAATTCACTATTACAGTCTTGGCTTCAAAATATGTATTTTTTTTATAAAAAATAAGCCTATTTTAATGAGGCTAGTCCATTTACGTTTTGATTCCGGAATGATTCATTTTTCCAAAAACAGTTCTTGAAGGGCTCTTTTTTGCAGAAGATGCTTTGAAAAGAGAGAAACCTGAAAGTATATACCTGTCCGATAGATGCTCTACCAAACCCCAGCTAAGCCGGCTCCATGAGACGGTGGCCGAGTATCTGAATTTGGATTTCTTCCTTCTTTTTTTTTTGCGACTCGCCTGTGATTTTAATACGTTCCATGATATTTAAACAGTCACCGCATTGACGTACACATGTGTTTTTCTGATCACCGATATACATGAACTTGTAATAGAGGATTATTTACTTTAAGTAAAACTACAAAAGAATAAACTTTGATTGCACCATGTTAACTAATGACAGTGCGGGCCCATGGCCAGCATTTTTTACGGGAAGGCGCGATCCAAGAAGGAGACGGATCAAACGAGACCGGTGGAGCAAGTCCGGAGAGGGGTAAACTAGGTTGTCTAAGGCTGCATTACGAGCGTTTTTGGAAGATATGGGTATTTATCAAACTTTTAAAGTTCAAAAGTGATTTATTTTCAAACAGACTACTTTTTTACAATTTTTGAGAATGTCAAAGTCCGTCACTATTTCAAAAAGAAAAAAACAAAAATAGAAAGAAAGTTGTAAGTCCGTATTTTTCGCTAGGTTTGCTGCGTCATGATCTTTCATTAGTTTGTCAAGTTCAAGCCTCCTTGGTGGGTGCCTCTTGAGAAACAGATCAACGACTTCTTCATCCTCGGAGACCCAGGGGCAGATAGTAGGGGCGAGGGAAAGTCTAAACGGGCGGAAAAATAAGGCACGAAGAAAAGTAAAAAACGGCGAGAAGAGCCCCTGGGGACAATGTCTTACCAGACCAGTTCCAAACGGTCGCCGTTGGACAAGTTTTTCTGGCACCAATCAGAAGCCAGAACGGTGGCGACCGTTTGGAACTGGTCTGAAAAGACATTGTCCCCAGGGGCTCGTCTGGCCGTTCTTTACTTTTCTTTTGTGCATATTTTTCCGCCCGTTGAGACTTTCCCTCGCCCCCACAATCAGCCCCTGGGTCTCCGAGGATGCAACTTCTTGCACATCAATGTATGTTAGATAATGGATGTTTATAAGAGCCAGTGGAGAGAGCCTCTCTTATCCCGCGAATATTACTTTTTAGGCAAACGGCAGATATTTTAAAATATTCTCAAAGACAAAAGGCTATACAAAAAAGAACAATGCATACCTTTATCTCCTGCGTAGCAAGCGTTTCCGTTTGTTTTCGGAGCAAAGTAAGACCGAGAAACGGGAGTTTTGGGTTTGGCCGGGCGAAAAATGAAACGAGAGTCATTTTTTGGGCGGTCTCGCCCCGAAACCGCACGGAAACAGCCTACCTTGGGAAAACCGAGGCGCCTGAGGAGGAGAGGCGAACGACTGGTGATGAACCGCAATGGACTATGGGAAGGGTCGCCCGTTGTCTCTTCCCGCCTTACTTTGCGCGCACATTTTCATGGAGAGAGAGACGTCCGGGTGAGAGGAAGGCACGGAAATGCTTGCGACGCAGGCTATCACATCTCCTTCAAGCACTAGAGGATCCAAGATTTACCCCTAGTAATTGGCTGTTAAGCAGCCAATTAGGAAACGAGAGTTTTCGATCCTTCATAGGACCGATAAATTCGCAAGGTCATTATTAACCCAGTCAGAACGGTTGTGCTGGAAGGAATCAACTTTACATTTAATTTCATAAAGACAACGAAGAGAATCAAAGAGACGACTACAACTCACCCTTGTAAACCTCGTGAAATCAACCTAAATCAAAGATTCTTAACATTCAAATCCATGCGTTAGAATATCTCGATGTATGTAGAGTCAAAATAGTTTAAAACTCTTGGTACAAGAGATTTTTAACAAAACTTTTGCGTATTCTCATTCCGGAACACGAATAATCGAAAGCACTCTTAGAATCAAAATCCGGATAATTTGTAGCCTCTGCTGGCGCGGAATTCCATTATTTAGATCCTTACAATTTTTTTACAAGACTCAACACAACAGTTGACAAAACAACTTATTAAAACAAATACAGTCAAACCTTTCCTAACAGCTGACACTCGATCATACCGGCTGCCCCGCGGTTCATCACTCCGGCTATTAAGTAGTGCCAGTACAGTTTTCTTGGTTTCAAAGACGACAATTTCCACTTCTTCGCAGACACCTCTGAGTTTGTGATGCGGATTTTAGAATTGTCTCTTTTCAATGGTCTCTGCATCAAGGAGGTTTTGACTGTCATGCATACCGTGTTATTCGAACAAGCGGCGGTATAAGAAGAATCAACCAAGCCCAGTTAGAGGTGTAGCCGCGGAGTAGCCTTTGATCAAGACTTAGATTATTGACAGAACAATATTTGAGGCCGTCGATAAAACCCGGAACACGGAACATCCGGGAACATCCCGGAAAATCCTGGAACATGAAAAAATAATAATAAAAATAAGTACATAAAATAATAATAATAATTAACAATTATTGGACGAGGTTGAGCAAAATAATTGATCTGCGAGACACTGACAAATCAAGAGAATTTTGCGATAACCGAGTTCAATAGTTGTTTTATCATTCGGTGACCGAATTTGTTTTTTAGAAAATATGTGGCGTTTTGTCATTTTCACGCAAAGGAGAAAAGCGTGGTTTCATTTACGCATGAGCAGAATATTATTTGCAGCCAAACAAAGTTGGACGATATTGCGCATCAGCCGACCATTATTTTAAGGCAGTTACTTGCAGGTCACGTAGAAGGCTGTCGGCCAATGAAAAGGAAGCAACATTGGCATCGAATGATAATGAAATAATTTTTGTAAAAACGAAAAATAAACAAAGAAAGAAAAAGAAACTGGTAAGACAGAACCAAATGTTCCCCGATTAATTTGTTTTGCAAGGTAAAACAAAACAAACAAACAAAACGGACGGCTGCTTTCCTTTCTATTCACCTTTGACCTGGACACGTTAAAACCCGACACCGTAATATTCAGTGAATTTAGCTACAAAATAGTGTTTACAATAATAACAAGCCGCATAAGCAAATCTTCAGGGTGTCTTCGATAAATTAGGCTTGGGCTCGAAATATAGGGAGGGGACAGAGTTTCAGCAGACAGAGTGAAAAAAAATGCAATGTTTCAGGCGATACCCAAATCACTGTGACAGCGGCCGTCGCCATCCTCAACCAGGCGGAAAAAGAGAGGACTGTAAACTAGCTTGAATTTCAGCCGTCTCCTCGAGTCGCAAACTCCTCTTGCTACTCGAGGAGACGCCTGAAATATCAGGCTAACTATTGACTGTCCACTAAAATCCAAAGACAGGAGCCCCTTAGCCTTTCTTACGTTCGCAGAGCCTAGTCTGTAAAAACTTCACGTCATCATCAATCTGAAGAAAGCAAAGCACCTCAAGTAAGCAAATGTGGGTTATATATAGGGAGACTATATAATGTTGGCTTGACATAAATTAATTACCGATTTGGCTTGAGATGGAATACTTACCGACATTTCAGACTATCGACTTGAAAAACCCCCCTCCTCGCATTGCCTCGCAAGCTATTGTAACATATTTTGAATTTAGAGGCAAGTCTTCACTTACTGTCATTTGCATGGACCCTCAC